AAATTACACCTTATTGGGTTATGTTAAGTTTTAAGTAAAATTAAAAACCGAGCTACGTGAGATAGCTTGAAGTAGTGGTCTGTCCTTGTCTAACAAGTTGCCAACGCTAAATAAAATCATCTTAGATAGTGTCTAGTCTATTAACTTTTTAAATTTTGGTTAAATAAAATTAGCTTAAAGGTAATAAGCTTTTACTGTAATAATACAAAAAATATATATATCACACAATGAAACCTTCTATTATGAAGTAGCATATCAAATAAGTATACTAATTTGTATTATGAAATAATATTACTTTTTGGTCATCCATAAGCGGACATTTTTTCTGTAAAAATTAAAAAGTTAAAAACAATATGGCTGGCTGAAACATGAACATGAATAAACACCCTATTAGAAAGAGACTCATTACTACTTTGGAGCCTGTCACTCGGTTCGTTTTATTAACTTAGTGAGCGGTCCAGTTTAATATACAAGTCCGTGGTTATGTACAATATCGTTACAAAAATTCGCTTCCATTCCTATAAATTGAACCTTGTTCTACGTCGAATTTGGCTAGAGTATAAGTTCTATACTATTTATACCGATGACATACGAAAATAAGAATGACATTTTCATAAATTCTGTCAAGATCTCCGGTTATCATTTAAATTGATTCACAGGTCGAAACTTACAAACATACTTTTATTAATGTATAACTTACGTTTCCATTACATATAAAACACGATTAGTGCGATGCCATTCGCATCCTTTTTACTACGCCTGCGAGCATTCCCTATGCTTTTTGAAGGGAAATCTCGCCAATCGCCGTCGATCAGTCTGTCTTGACCCTGATAAGATTGACACAATTTGTAGCACAGAATATTTGTGTTGTATTTTTACATTTACTTCGAAGTATTATAAAGCCACATGTGATCATACGTGAAAATGCTTTTATCACGTGTCATAAAAATCTAATTACGTAAAACAAATTATTTTTATGATTAAATGTGAAATTTTGTAACTCTCCTTATTAAGCATAAATATCAACTAATTTTGTTCGAAGAATGTACGTCTATCCAAATGTGGCCTTATTTAACAAAGGGTTGTATTACTAACAACTAGAGGGAGATATTATCCACTGTATCTGCATTACATCATGGATGTCTGGGTAAATATTTATTATACTCTGCCCACGTTCTGCCTCATTTCAGGAGGTTCTCAATTCGACCGTAGGTATGTTCTTTCTTTTCGGATTTTTTTTTGTTGGAAGGTGGGTACCTTATTAGTGTTCCCATTTAAATTTGAAGAAAATATTCCACCTTTAAGGGTGGCAAACTAGGGGATGAATCCCGTTTCGCGCACTTTCCGGTAACCGATTTCAATAAAACTTGGCTAATAGATGTAATTCCGCTAACTTTTATGTGGTCGGTTTTTTTAAGTACTCTGAGATTGCGTCTCGTTAAGACTTACTGTGCATGCATGATTCTTGTACCAAATACTGCACGTCAAAAACCATACTCGCCTTTATTGACATTTGATGGAAGCCCATTATTAATAATTATTTATTGACCCATATTGTTGGACCAAACCAAAATTTCGAGCTCTTTACAAGTTTGGCCCTTGCCCTTGGTTCTTGGTTATGGCTGATGGTATCTACTACCCTTTAAAAAAAAATCGAAAATATATGATACTTTAGATCAGAAAATTGTATTATAATTTTAATCATAAAAATGGCAGTTACTTCGCGAACCCGGTCAAGGTTGAATGTAATTAATTTTCCCATTCACGTCTCTCTACGAGACACCCCCAGTAGTTGTTATTGTTCGACGCTCGGCCGCAGAATGAGTTTGCTTTGAACGTTGGCCATATTTATACCCCATTATTACTATCGTTATAATTATGATTTGTTTCATCAAATTAACTATAAATTATGTCAACCTTGCACACACGCGATTAACATACAATACAGGTTGTTCGATAATAATCGTAAAAATCTTCTATAATTATTATTTATTGTAACATGAGACAATAAATCACGCAAATGAAAAGAATCTATTAAAAAGAATTTTGCACAATTATTGTCATCAAACAACTCCGATTCTCAGGCAAGCTTCTCTCTCAGGTAGGTATCTGCTACCGAACACCTTTTTCATAAATATCACACTCGATACAATATAAAAATACTTATTATTTCCAAAATATCAAGAGTTGCCCATCTCTAAAATCACAGTCCATTGAAACGATAAGAAAATGTGGGTAAAATTATTATCGAAGCAAAATAGACGTAACGTTCCTTTTTGAAAAATATATCCTTGGCTTCGCCTTTATTGACAAAATTGTGGACGCTATAGGGAAGCTTACTCAATTACACAGACATTTGTAGAATACATGTTTAAAGAGATATTTGAAAAACATTCTCATGGAAGAATATCTTTTTATACTTACAAGGCTAAACGCTCGTACACAAGACTCAATTTTAGACGTACGGCATAAGTTACTGCGGTTACAGAGTATTTAAGTAAGTTTTTATTGCAAGTTACGATGTTTCACCGGCGTTATAATCAATTATTTTTGTGAAATCACTCCACTACAGGCCCATTGCTTAACTGAGCCGGTTCCTGAGGTACCTGCACGGTGCGGGAGGAGTTATCTGCCGTCCACTAACTAAACGCGGTTTAAGTGACAATTGGCTAAATATCCGTTTTAAACGCACAAAATTGTCTTTTAAAAACAGTTAAAATTAGTTAAGGTATTCGACTTATCGGAACTTCGGCAATACTTCGTTAGGGTTAACGATGTATTGCCGAAATATCTTTAAATAATTTCAATATTCTAAAAGTGGGTTATGGTTTTATATGATATCTCAAAAAAATATTTTGTCTCTTTGCCACGGTTTAGTTAGCGGACGACAGTTATCACTCCTTACCGCTTACGTAACTGTTACGTCGCGCTGCACACGTATTAATTTCAACAAGACTTTCCTAACGATATTCAATAGCAAGTTGATTGAAAAAATTGCCAAATGGCTTGTCCATTCATTTCAATTATCAATGAACTTGTTATTGAATATCGTCAGACAAAATATTGTTGAAATAATCCAGTGTGCAGCGCGACAGGACTGTCACGTAAACTGTCACCCCTCCCTCACCGCGCAGCTACCTCACGAGCCGACTACATTAATTATTAATACAAAGATCACTAAGATATGGCATAAGTCGTTAAAAACCAAAAAGAAAGACATGCAACAAGCACATTGAAAAATTCGTAAGGTTCGCTGGTTTGTTCCATGGCTTAGTTAGCATAGCGTCTAGAATAGTTTGCAGGAAGACGCTGGTTCAGATCCACTCGGACCGAAGGAGATTTTTCTTAATGTTCGACCTTTGTATTAATAATTATACAAGCATTTATTTATATATTTATTATTAAACATTTATGCTTCTTGTAGTAGTTGTTAAGCATTTCAGTGACCGGAATTGAGGGAGTTTATTTACACTCCCGTCTAGAAATCCCGGGACTTTTCGGAACTAATTAAATTTGAATAAGAGCATTATTTATTGAAATTGAGTATATTGGCGAAAAATCAGTATTTATTTAAATAAAAAATATCAATAAAATTTATTTCACAGAAAATGGTTATAATTTCGTATTAACCTCGGTCCCGACACTAGGCAAGCTTGAACCGGGGGTCACAGATATACGATTTACATAATATTACATATTACATTTTTTAGCCTCTGAAAGGAAAAGAAATAGACGGAAGAATAAAAATTATTAGTAGGTATATAATGTAAATATTAATAACTTTTTATGTTATTATTTTATTTCCTATTAAATATTCGCTACAAATTATTATCTCAAAAAATAATATTGTAGTTGCTTCTATAGATACTCACGTATTTAAATACTTTAGCCATTTAAAAAAAACATAAGACAAACTATATTTTGAATTGTTTAGAAAATAAACAGTAAAAGAAAATTTTTACATTGATGATGAAATTGGTATGTCCATACTAAGAAAGTTCCATACCTTAGGTAAATAAAGTCCCTCAGCTCCGATCAGTGATTATAATGTTTGACATTCAAAAAGTATATCAATTATGAGTGACATTTAAGAAACGTTGACAAGGTTTCGACAATAAATCGCACGACAAATCGACCCGTGTGTACGATACTTAGGGCTAAACATTTTCGATTGAGTTCTCCTAGTTACATAGATTAACACCTACAAATAGTGAATAAACATCGTATGACATTTCTACATGGGTGATCCTTTTCATACATTTAATTAGTTCGATTACCATTATACATGATAGAGTATGGCTGCATACGGTTTGTTGACTATTATCAAATAACAAATGATACTTGTATACAGGGTTATTTTTAAAACACTAACAAGTCCTGGAAGGACTATGTATATTAATAACATCATAAACAATAACTTGTGTTCCATGACTTTTAATATAGATTTAAATAGATCCATCTAAACGGTAATAACTCTGTGCAGGACGGGGGTGAGAGTCGTCGCGGAGGACGCTTGCACGTTTGAACTTATTCTATCAGATATATAATCTAAAAAGTGTCAGATAGTATAACAAAATATTTAAGTATATTTTTGGTAAATTTATTCTGTTTTGTAAAAAGTCGTGCAACAAAAGCTCTTGTTTATGATATTAGAATTTTTAAAATGTGTGTGTAAAAGCTTATAGTTAATATTGCATATCGACTGTGAACAGGCAACCGGTACTATCTCAATTTTGACATGTTTACACGATGAAGAAAAAAATTGATTGCGTCATTTATATAGCATCTGGTTTATTAAATAAAAATACGTAGTGTATGTGCAATAAAAATATTAAAAAACTACATATTTTTATTTAATAAATCAGATGCTATATAAATGACACAAGACATTTTTTTTCATTCTGTAAAGTTGTCAAAATTGAGACAGTACCGATTGCCAGTTCACAGTCGATATATAATTAATATATGTGCAAAAAACTTAATGCGAAAGTATAATTTTTGGAAGTGACAAAATAAATAAAAAAATTTCTTAAATGACCGTAAGTGACGGGACGAACAGCGCCTGGTTGTAAGCGACATGCCTGTCCAAAGCAGTTGCTGTGCCACTCGGAGCTTTAAATTGCAAAGATCTGAGGAGCTCTGTCACAGTAATTTCACACTTACTACTTGGTGGCAGAAATAGGTAATGAAAAAAACATGGTACAATATAGTTTTACAATTTAGTCACATTCGGTACCAGCCAATAAGGATATAAATAGCTTGTGACGCGTACTTGTCAAATATATATATTTTGTGAATTTTCCCAAAAATTGCTTTTCGAAATAATAATACCTATGTGGTTTTATTGAGACTGGGATATCATATCCTCGAAGCTAAACTGTCATAAGCCCTTTTTTATTACATGACATTAATGTTGAGAATTTCATAAAAAGAGTGGTCATAATAGTACATATTTTACAACACTTTTGTTCAAAATTTAAAACAGTGTAAAATTTGTAATTGAAGAAAAAACATATAACATGACGCTATACTTTATTAAAGCAACTTTGTATGAAACCGCATAAATACTATTACCAAAATTGAAGCCTTCTAATCCCTAAACAGTTTTCTTTGCAAACGGAGATTGTAACTAACTCCGTCTCTTATTTCGTTGGTTCTTTCTTGTGAACACTTTATAATTAAAATTTGTATCCCCTAGAACGTTTTCAAATTAGAACGCTTGTAGAAGTCAGTTTTAGTTTACTAATTGTGACTGTAAAAGAGTGCGCGTATCACGACAGTGGCGCTGCAACTGCGCTTCTAAATTTTGAATAAACATTAGTAGTGGCTTCTATAAAAGTCTAATTTGAAGGCGCCCACGACTTTCGATTGTCAAGAACAAGCAAGCTGCTGGTGGCCGCTAAGAACCTATAAAGTGGTAAACCACCAACTTTGGCAATAGTACATCAACCAGGACCATTGATAAAAGGAATTCAACCGTATGCAACATACGTTAATAAGGTTAGTCAGTGATATTAATGTGAATATACATTCGAATTATAAGGGATGAGTGTGTTATATTTTAGAGGGTGTGCCGGCGCTCTCGGGCAGGCGCCGGATACCGGAAAAATTTACATTCGTTGACACGCACTGACATCTGAAACGAACGATAGGTATCTCTGTTAAGTAGGCAAAGTCACCTGCATCAGTCCGTGGTAAAAGATCGATACAACACTTTTATAGTCTACTGCAAGGCAATGGTCTCTTTTAAGGACAGGGTTTATGAAATAATCAGGCACACTGACCGAATGCGTTCCTCAAGGGTTTTTTTTATGATAGCCACACACCTACCCCTATAAGTGCCACTCAGAGATTTACATAGCAAAGATCTGATTGTGCCGGGACGAACAAGTCGTGCGCCTGGTGGTAAGCGACACGCCTATCTATAGCAGTTGCAGTGCCACTCAGAGCTTTAAATAGCAAAGATCTTAGGGGCACTACCATTGCCCCCGTCACTGGTGCCTGTAATTTCCAGCACGAGTAAGTACCCTTACCCTTCTAAGCCGGAACGCATTAATGTTCACATTACTGATTGGTGGCAAAAATAGGTGTGGTGGCAGTACAACCCTGGACTTCTTTCACAAGGAGCTCTATTGCAATTAAAAGCAGAGGGACACTGCCAGTGCACTCCTCATCCTGAGACACAAAGTTGTCAAGTCCCATGTGCTTGTGGTTTCATCTTGGTGGCAGAAGTAAGTAAGGCGGCAGTACTTCCCTGGATGAACTCTTTCACAAGGAGCTTGCTTTTAGAAAAGTTTGCGCTGCACAAACGTACAGATTTCACATTCTTTTTTCTGCTGTTGTAAACATAAAAATACTTACCAGGCGTGTACGATGGCGCTAGGAGTCTCCGGTATCATGCCTGGGATAGTCCATGGTCTTGATGTAGGCGACTGCTGCGCAGAACTGCGTCCACCAGTACAAAGCTTCGCCCTGGAGCGCTGAGCCTCCTAGGGCATTCACCAGCTCGATCGTTGATAGCAGTGATGGGGGGTTCACCTGGTAGTGATTGTTTAGTGGAATTTTAATTCTTAAGTTTAATTATCGTCAGTATGAGAATAAGTCACGTGTACCTTTATGGTTAAAAGAATATTTATTTCTCATAAGAATAACGTATTCTCTTACTGAGAAACTTAAGTAATTCAAACTTACATAATCTCAGTTCAGAGCAGTGTTGGGCAAAATTTAATTGTTCTGGCATTAATGATTAACAATTAATTAATTGGCAATTGCGAAACAGCAATTAACGATTGATCAATTGTTAGTATATCTACAATTAACAATTAATAAATTTTCAATATTTTCCATGTTTTTGATTAACAATTAACAATTGAAATTGACAATCATGATAAATTTATAGGGCATGTGGATTAGAGGGTGGGTTAGGGGTGGGTTTGGGGGGTGAGTTAGGGCGTGGATTAGGGGGTGGGTTAGGATTTGGGTTGGGGAGGTTAGGGTTTGGGTTGGGGGGTTAGCGTTTGGATTTGGGGAGTTAGGGGTGAGTTAGAGGTGGGTTAGGGGTGAATTAGGAGGTAGCTCAGTTTCAGGGGGTGGGTGAGGAGATGGATTAGGGGGTGGGTTAGATTTTAGAGGATATGTTAGAGCGTGGGTTGTGGGTGACTTAGGGGTGGGTTAGGAGGTGGGTTAGGGGTGGATTAGGGGGCGGGTTTAGGGGGTGGGTTAGGTGGTCGGTTATGGGGTGGGTGAGTGGGTTTGAGTGGCCGGGTGAGTAGGTGGGTGAGCGGGTGGGTGAGTAGATGGGTGAGCGGGTGTGTCGGTGGGTTGGGTCAGGGGGTGGGTCACTCACCCCTGACCGCCCCCCAACCGACCTCCCAACCGGCACCCCAACTGGTCCCCCAACCGGTTCCCCAACCGGCCCCCCAACAGGCCCCCAACCACAATTGCAATTGGATTGATTTTTAATCTGATTGAATTTCTAAATGAAATTTAATTGATTAACGCCCAACACTGGTACAGAGTACTAAAAAAACCGACCTCAAAAGTACGTGGAATTACGTCTATTTGCTAAGTTTTATTGAAATACCCCTAGTTCGCCACTATACGGGCTTGACACAGGAGATAATAAAAATCGGTTCTTACTACTCAAAGTATATTAAGAGAGAGAGAAACGCTTTGAATTGGAGAATAGCAAAACTAACCATTAAAATAATTGAAGAGACCCACCTTGAGTATGACGTAGACGAGCACGGGCGTGAGGTCGTCGGCTGCGGGAGCGGCGCCTTCGCCTAGTCCCAGTACCGCCATGATGCAGCGCACGCACCGCATTATGCATAATAGCTGAACAAAATAATTAGTTGCATAGGCATTTCTGCACAAAGAAAAGTGGATTCATAATATTATAATAAATGTTTATTTGTTCCACAAACTATGTATTAAGGAACAAAATAGAAATACGGCCAAAACAACGCCCCACCTTGGAATTTTACAATAGAACGATGTTTATATTGGCACCTAAATTATTTAATAATAATAATAATAATAATATTTTTAATTGATAACATAAAATGTAAAATTTAACCACTGTGCGTGATTGAAATAAGAATTGTGTAAAATATTCGCATGCCAAGTTTTGGTGAAATGTACGATCTAATAATAATATACAATGACACCATTGTAAACTACATTTTTCAGCGAATAAATATCTTGTATTCTTGTATTCTTGTAATCGAACAAAGATACATCCATTAAGAGCCTGCACTAGCAGTGCCCTGTTTCCCAGAACTCCTAATCTCCGATCCTTTGCTTGTTACAATCTCTTCACCTATGGGTATGTGTGACTATTGTGAGTCATCATGGTCGTCAACACATATACATCACACTGCTGGGCATGTGTCTCGTCTACAGCGAAGGTCTATGCCATAGTTTGCCGTACGGCCAATGACTTTATACCTTTTCGAATTGTGAACCTTAAAGGAATTAAATTTAATTGAATTTACAATATTTAATAATAATATTTCTTTATTCTCTCCAACAATATTTTTTTTAAAGTAATGGAACAGAACTTACATATTGTTGTTGTGAGAGACAGGAGAATAAACTAGGAAAGTTCTGTAACATAGGACTTCCGGTCTCTACCTCTAGGTTGAGCCATAGGAATAACGAACTGTGAATGTCTCAATCGACATTTTTAACGAAATCGAGTTATTTAGTTTCAATTTTATTGTTAAGCAAAATTAGAGTAATTGACATTTTCAAAGAAAAAATGGAACATTATAGCAGAGACCGGGAAGCATCGAGTATATAAACAGAAATACAAACGAAATAAGGGCCATCCATCCCTGCAATTCATAAGTCAAATAGTACTGATATCACTTTTAAATATCAACACTCGTTTGCGGTGAAATTACAAATTAGAAAACTGAAATAGTACGGCGCCAACAACCGACCTGAGCGTACGTCTCCATATATTCCAAAAATATTCTATATTTATTGTCATAAAGATAATATCCCTAACAATGAGGGCTGTTCCATTCGACGGTGTGGGAAAAACAGCAAAACATCTAATTACAAGACAAACGGAATCACATTTAATCGGTTATTAAATATGTAATTATGCAATTGTCGTCCATTATAGCAAAGCTCAAGTTAAACTGGTCGATTTGAAGTGAAACAATTGACGACACCCGTCAATTGTTTCGAATTCGGGCTGACCAATCCTAGCACAGTTGTCACAGTAATGATGTGGCAGAAAAGTTTTCAAACAAATTAAATGAAATTTCGTTTCTATTTCTGGTTATATACTCGATGCCGGGAAGTAAGGGATTGCTGGACGAGTTTGAGTTACAAGGCCGACCGCCAGTGAGGCATTGTATTAATACGAGTCAAGCAATCCCCATTCCCGCCGAGGCATATAGTGTTTTTCTAAAGTAAGACTAAAGAAAGGAAGATGTATAATAGAAAAAGTAAAAAAATATTAAATAATATTAAAAGTAATATTTGACATTTGGCTAATATTACCTCTTGTTTTAAATTAGGCGGAGTACAATCCATTACTGTATTTTTGGTATCGCTCTTTTTAACACAACACATTTTCGCGATAAAAATACAAAAAAGACGAAAAAACACAAAAGAATACCAAAGCACTTCAGATTATTTTACCACCTTTTTCTTTTTTTATTCAGGTATTTTTAATTCTCGCAATTACGAACACTGAGTTTTGCCTAATTAGATGGTTCATTGTTAGTAGATAGCATTAAAAGTTTGGAGAAGTGGACAGTAATGGGTTTTGATACCTAATTTGCAGGCCTTGGCCGGGAAGAAGTAGCACGGTACAAAAATGGCAAACTGCCTGTATTCGTTTTTTGAAATTAATGCAAACATTTCCGAGCATGTCTGAGAAAAATCTTTTTCAACTCACAATCTTGGGAAGGCTTTATTTCTCATTAGAAACCTACGCGCAAAAGCGGTTTTTCCATGCTAGCATGACAAAGGTTTTTTAAATTCGAACTTGACGATGGACCGTCGTGCACCTAACTTTTTCTTTTGATGAAAAAGAAAAACATACTGACACGTTCAACTATGCGATTTGTAGTACATTATTTATGTAATATAAATCCGTTGGTATATTTTATTCTTATTATTGTTGACATTAAATTGACAACGATAACTAATTTTGTTTATTAAAACTGATTTGTTATAGTTGATCTAATTTTCTTTCACCAAACACCTCGCTATAGTGCTGTGAAAAGTTGTGTGTTTCGCTCGGCAGCAAAGTTGTTTTGCGTCTCGTGACTTGAAACCCTCGCTACGCTCAGGATTCCATGCAGGCACTCGCGTTAAACAAAATCTTTGCAGACTTGTATGACAAATAACTATAGGTTAGATTTCGAAAGGTACCAAACTATTTACTTTTTTTCTATTTAATTAGTTATATATGTACTTATACGTTCCTTTTGTTATAAAAATGTATTACCTTTAAGTGGTTCAATGTAATAATAATTATGGTGTTAGTTTTAGTGGATCATAGGATCCAATATATAAATAATAGAAAATAAGCCGTCATGGAAGTGAATAAAGTTTTTATCTATCTATCTAACTACCAAAATGCAAATGCGGCAGTTATGACAAGGAACTGAAGGACTGTTGTCGGGCCTCACCTTGTCCCTGGGCGTGCGGTAGACGGGCAGGTGCCGCAGCTGCAGCTGCGCGCGCGGGAAGGGCGCGGCCCACAGGTGGCGCGGGGCCACGCCGGCGCGCCGGGCGCCCGTGCAGCTGGCCAGCCGCCGGATGTGCTCCCACAGCACCCTGCCGTGCAAGTGCCCGAGTTCAGCCGATTCGCACATTTTTATTGCAAATATTTGGCCGCTAAGGCCAAGAAAAATGCTTTAAGTATTTGACAAAGAAAGCCTAGTGCTACCTACGTGTAATCAGAAATGAAAGTGATTTCAATTTTAAGCAGTTAATAGATTCAGGCGTTACAATACGGAAGTCATTATTAAAAAAAAAACGGAATTTGCTATTCTGCGAACCCAGTGGAGGTTAAGAAGGTTAATAAGTATTAATTCAAAAAGTGCATTCTTTTCAGAAGCGATGAAAAACGAATTACTCACTCTCCGTTAAAGATTATTGAAATGTACGTATTGGTTCAAGTTTATTAAAAACAAGACAATTTCCTATATGCCTAAATACATTTCAAAATAGAAGGTAAAAAATTATTTCATATTTATATATATTTATTTAGTAGCAGTAAAGCTCTTAGCTTTTAACGCGTAATAGCTAAAGAGATACGACGAATCGGTACAAATATATAATATTTCGTCAACTATAACTCTATATTAAATGTCGTAGCGACTTGTATGTTTATTTATTTGGTTCTCCAACTATGAGTATAATATACATTACAATAACATAATTATACTAAACAGAAATAATAGGGGTTAAAGTATGAAATTGCCGATTTGTACTGAAAATCTAAATTGTTTATTTTTTAAATTTTTAACAAATTTATTTAATCAAAATAGTTGCCATTATTATCTATACATTGCTGCCATCTAATGGGAAGGTTATTAATGCCTTTGCGATAGAACTCCGACGATCTAGACTGCACAAACTGTGTGAAAGCATTTTGTACTGCCTCCTGGGAAGAAAACTTCTTGTCACGTAGATAATTGTCCAAATCACGAAAAAAATGGTAGTCCGTTGGAGCAAGGTCTGGTGAATACGGAGGATGACGAATGGTTTCTAACTGCAGTTCCTGAAGGGTCAACATGGTTTCTCGTGCTGTATGAGGTCTCGCGTTGTCGTGGAGCAATAATGGTGAAGATCGATTCATGAGTCGGGGCTGTTTTACTGCTAGTTTTGTCAACATGGTTCGGAGTTCGGCACAATAGACATCTGCCGTTATTGCTTGACCAGATCGGAGAAAACTATAGTGAATAACACCATGCTGAGACCACCAAACAGTTACCATTACCTTTTTATTGGTAAGTTTTGCTTTAGGACACTGTTGTGGCATTTGACCTGGGGTCAGCCATTGTATTTTTCTTTTCCGGTTATGATAAAGAATCCACTTTTCATCACATGTTACAATTCGATCCAATATTCCTTCATTTCTGTACCGGTTCAACAAGGCAACACAAGTTTCAACACGCGTTTCTTTCTGCAGATCAGTCAAATCATGAGGCACCCATTTTTCGTATTTTTTTATTTTATTGATTTGACGCAAGTGAGTCAATATTGTGGGTAAGGTAACGTTAAACCATGCCGCTAATTCTTGGGTAGTTTGACTAGGATCGGCTTCCACTATCTCTCTTAATTCATCGTTATTCACCTGTGTGGGCGGTCTTCCTCGTGGCTCGTTCTTTAAGTCGAAATTTCCATCACGAAAGCGTTTAAACCAAAATCGCACGGTGCGTTCATTAGTAGACCCCTCTCCAAACGCAGCATTGATATTGCGGGCTGTTTCTGCCGCGTTAGTTCCGCTTCGGAACTCGTATTCAAAAATCATTCGAATTTTCGCAGTATCCATCTTTCTTGTCTAAATTGAATAACAAAAACAATTGAAAGTCGATATTCAAATGTTTCAAATTAAAAAAAAAAATCACAGAAACCATTTGAAAAAAGTTTCATTCGAAAACCTCAAACCATGAAGATTCTATGAAAATTCAAAGAACCTATTGCAATAAAACGGCAATTTCATACTTTAACCCCTAATACAATTGCTCCATTACTTAGAAGAGAACATCGAATTACGTAGACTAAAGCCGAAAAAAGACCGAAATGATTTTAAAGTGATTTAATTAAAAAAGAATTTAATTAACAATATGAACTTATGGGCTAACTATGCTAGTGTCCTAATCGATGCTAGATTATGGAGTTCCTTCCTATTATGATTTCTCTGTGGTTGATTTGGAGCGTTGAACTGAACACACTAAATCTGGACAATTAAAAACCCCAGTGACTAATGTCTTCAAAAAACTAATATAGTATGTGTGCGCGCCCGCCGCGTTCCGTGTTCGAACGCATATACTTGCATAACCAATGGGTGCTCTAGCGTTGCACAACTCTGGTCGTCTCAACGCGCATTACAAGCGGTGCTGTCATTGGGTACGAAGCCCTACTTGTCCTTATTCTACTATGATTATAGTGTATGCTATCGATAGGATAAGAAGAAGTAAATACGTAAGAACTTTTTCAGCAACAATAATTGAAACAACTCACTGATCCCGTGCAATATCTCCGTCCCCGTTCGGGAACAGCACATGTAAGTAAAGCCTGGCGAACGCTGCTCGTTCCACAGTAATCTCGGCCATTTCCAGCAGCATGGGCGACGCGTTCTCCCACGACGGATCGGCCTTCACCTCGGTCGTTATCGCTTTTATGCTCGCCGTCAGTCTAGTTGCTTTCTCGTCCATTAATTCACCACCTGTGTTATGAATGAGATAATGAATGAAATATTCATTATATCACACTCGCTCGTAAGTAGTATTGTGTATATTATTATAAGTAATGGGTTTTTTGTAGTGCATATCGGGCTCCAGTCTGAATATCGAGTATGTGGCACAAAAATTGTCACGAAAAAGTACCACTTATTAACGTCAGTTATGATAAATAACTATATACAATGAAACAAAAAAGGTAAAAAATATATAAAGACTATCACAAAAAAGGTAAATAACACTTCAGATGAAAATGAATTATTTTGCTTAACAGAAAATAAAATTCTGATTCTAATATGTAAATAACTATGTCCCGTCATAACGGTAAGATATTTGTCGAGATTTCTGGTGTATCTGCATGTATGAGAACATTGTCGTTCTCCAAGTGATAAAAGATCTAATAATAATAACGCAGATGGAAGAGGACGATGTATTTTTATTACACACCCTGCACATAGATACACGCCATACTGCATTTACTTGGCTTTGTATGTTGTTCAAACCAGCCAACAGGCTAAGAAAAAAAAAATATAATAGGTAGCAGTACTACTACCACCACTGGCGTGATATCTAATGTTGATTGATATACTCCCGGGCACATAATTCGAGTCACCTTGCCGTTTCAATATTAAATGTTTAGCTTAAACAATGCCTGATTGAACAAAATCTATTAACGCAACTTTGAAACTGGTATACTAAACGTCATTTCCTCTTATTGAAAATTTTAAAAACCGGAGAAAACTTTTTCTTCAATGGTAACTATATTTTTGTATTTTAGCCTTTTTAAGGATAAAAACGCAAGGTGGCCGAATGATGTGTCCGGGAGTGTATTTAAATAAATCATTTTATCGCATCCTATCCTATTGCTCAGGTAACCAGGTCTCCATCTCCGGGCAGACTAAATTCTTCGGACTTCATTGAGCCGTTAAATGTTGTTTTTAACAACATCTCATATGATACTAACCGTTGTGCATAGCGTGGTTGTTGTGCGCGTGGTGATGCCGCGCGAGGCGCCTCAAGGAGTTGCCGCGCTCCAGCTGCTCCAGCACGCGCGCTGCGGCCGCTGCGCGGGCGCATGACACGCACTCGGAGCGCACTAAGCTGATTTGGCTGCAATGCAAACACACGGATTAGCATTTTCTATTGGTCATTAACTAGCTTTATAAATAAAAAACTCAACCATTGCAATTTAAGAATATTTACATACATACATACATATACTTCACGCCTTTTTCCCATCGGGGTAGGCAGAGACAACAGTCTTCCACTTGCTACGGTCCTGACACACATCTTTCGCCTCATCAACACGCATCAATGCTTTCATACACGCTCGTCCGTTAAGGGTACTCTTGACCTGGCCCTTCTTTAGGATGGCCTCAATTTGGTCATGATAAGTTCTCCTTGGCCGGCCCATACCAACTTGCCCGCTCACACTCGCCTTATAAATCTGTTTCGTCACTCTTCTTTCCTTCATTCTCTCTACATGTCCGAACCATCTAAGCATCCCTTTCTCTATCTTTGTCACTATATCTTCTTCCACGCCGCAACGCTCTCTTATCACACTGTTCCGTAATTTATCCATCCGAGTCACTCCAGCCATACTCCTCAAAGCTCTCATTTCTACTGCATTAATTTAAAGAGAGGAAGATATGACGATTTGCACGATATTGATTGAAGGAGAGAAAGTGGATCAAGTGAAAGAGTTTGTGTATTTGGGTTCTACGTTTACGTGTGATGGAAAATGTGAAAGAGACATTGAAAGAAGAGTGAATGCAGGGAATCAGGTGAATGGTGCCTTGCATACCTTCATGGGTAGCCAGAAAGTGTCTAAAAAGGCACGATTGGCTGTGCATGGGGGGGGGTGCTGGTTCCTACACTTATGTATGGTAGTGAATGTTGGGTTTGGCAGAAGAAGCATGAAAGTAGAATTAATGCAGTAGAAATGAGAGCTAAGAATATTTTACTAAATTAATTTTATAAATTCATAATGCTGCAGTATTTTTAGTATTTTGAAATTATTTATTTCATAATACATCATAGCTGTATGCGTTTTTGTCTTTTACAACACTTTAATGCGAGTTGTATATTATGTATGGAAAAATAACTAGCAATCTGTTTAAAAAAAACTCCATTTGCAAAATCCGTAAATGTTGTGTTGTGAAGCGATATTTATTCATACAAGAAATAAATTATCGTTGTATCTATTTCCTCGCAAATTTATGAAAAACATTATTGAAGGTGAAGACAAGCAGTAAGTATACTTACGTATTAAGCGCATGTAGAGTGTTAGTTAGCCCGGCCCTGCAGGATGCGAGATAGGCGGCATACGGTCTCCTCGCCGCCAAATCTGCCCTCAACGCGGCGGCCAATCGCGAGCAGCGACTGCCGCTGGCAGCAAGTGCTCGAGCCAATTCCCCGGCGTGAGCGGCGCCGGCTTCGTTAGTTGCGCACGCGGCTGCGGCTCGCACCCATTCCACTAGCGAAGAGCTTGTGCAACGCTAGAAATGTTATGGTCAATTTAATTAGGTCAATTCTGTCTTTAAATTTAGATTGTAGTCTTTATTTTAAATTATCAGGTAATTTTACTGCGGTATTGACGTCCCAATCGGAAGATAGGCTACTTTATATACCAATCGAAAGCATGGTGTCTTTTCATATCCCCGAGGATAGTGCAATTACGCGTAACTAGCATACCGAAATGGAAATTCATAATGAAGAGTTTCCATTTCGGTAATTTAGAGTCCAAGTCAAATCCGCGTATATGTCGTGGCAACCAATTAGCGTGATTTACGGGAATCTATTGTTATCAGTCCGTAGATAAACATAAATTAATGTTTACTGTCCAAAAATGAAAGTTGTAACTATTGAGATAACAAAGTAATAACGTTAAATCCCTCTTCTGTACAAATTTGGTTTTGTGCAGGTTTGCGCCTACCAAACTTAACGTAACGCCTACGGATGTTGTGCGAGCAAGTATGTAGCGAATTGATGCTCGTTACACGAATTACAACTGCGAATGGTACTGAGGACAAAAGGTAGTTCTGTAATATTGAGGCCAGGACACAAGGCTGATATTGTTAATACTGGACCTTAAAATAGATTTTTTTTAACCGACTTAAAAAAGGAGGAAGTTTTCAATTCGACTGTAGGTTTTTTTGTTTTTTTTTTTGTATATACGTTACGCGATAACTCCGGTATTTGTGAACCGATTTTCATGATTCTTTTTTTGTTGGAATGGAGGTACTTCCATAGTGGTCCCATTGCATGTTGAAGGTAATCATCCACCTCTAAGGGTGGCTGTTCACGCATGAAGATTCATTTTTATAAATAGCGCCTAAATTTTCTTAAGGAGCAATTATTTTAATGGTTGATTTTGCTATTTCTCCAATTCAAGGAGTTTTTCTCTCAATATTCTTTGAGTAGCGAGAACCGATTTTTGTTATCTCCAGTGTCCTGTATAGTGGCGAATTTAAGGATATTTCAATAAAACTTAGCAAATAGACGTAATTCCACGTACTTTTGAGGACGGTTTTTTAGTACTCTGTACTGAGATTTTTGGACGAACATTTCTGCGCCTGATGATCAGCGATTCGCCTACAGTGCCACTCAGAGCCTTAAATAGCAAATATCTGAGAAGCACTGCCATTGCGCCCGTCACCCTGAGACATAACATTAGCAAGTCACATGTGACTATTAAATGTAGCAGTAGAGCTCCTTGTGAACGAGTTCGTCCAGTGAAGTACTGCTACATTACCTATTTCTGCAGCCAAACAATAATATGAGCATTACTGCATTCTGGTTTTGATGAGTATAGGTGCTGGTGGAATTACTGTCAAATTGTCTCAGAGTGAAGGGCGCAGTGGCCATGACCCTCAGATGTTTGCGATATAAAGCTCCGAGTGGCAATGCAACCGGACAGGCGTGTCGCTTATTACCAGGCGCACGAATCGTTCGCTCCGTCACTTTGTATCAGGAAAAAAAAATGTCATTCCTTAATTTATACTTTCCACATAACCACATCATCGAAGCATTCCCTTTTATATACTAGGAGATATTAGTCTGAAAACTAAGGTTTTCAACCAGTGCGTCCTGCCTGTTATGATTTACGGAGCCGAGACGTGGACACTCACGATACGGCTAGTCCACCAATTTAGTCGCTCAACGAGCTATGGAAACCGATAACCGATGGGGAAAACGAGTTCTGGAGTGGAGACCGCGACTCGGTATATGTAGTGTAGGACGCCCTCCGGCCAGGTGGTGTGACGACCTGCGAAAGGTTGCTGGCGGGAAATGGATGCGACAAGCTGAGGACTGCGATGATGATTAGTTTGAAAAAAATACACTCGAGAGCAATGAATCCGGGTCACTTAAAGAATCCAAAAAATCTCGGAAAGTAAGAATGCTAGGTTAATGCAATAAATTGTATTTAATAGACAATTTAATACTCCTTAAATGAAAGTAAAAAAATATGACTCACCATACATTTTATTTACACAAAATTACATAAAGAAAAAAAACTGCTGATCTCTCCTTAAAACAAAAATAGGAAACATGAAATTTTTGAACTTTATTACGATTTTCTTGAATTTTAATACTTCGTATTGCCTCCTCGTGCTTCCATTACTGCGTTTAGGCGGTTTGGCATGCTGTACACCAAGTTCCTTATACGATTTTGGGGAATATTCTCCCATTCCTCTGTGAGAGCAATTTTGAGCTCACGAAGCGTGATTGGGGGAGGGTTTCGTTGTTTTACGCATCTCCCTAGCTCGTCCCAAGCATGCTCGATCGGGTTGATATCCGGGCTGCGCGCTGGCCACTCCATACAAGTAATGTTCATCTCTTGAAGGTAGTCATTTACAATCCTACCTGTATAAGGTCGGGCATTGTCATGCATAAATATAGCATCCTCACCAAAATTGACCATAAATGGACCAACGTGTTCATTGAGGATTTCATCTTGGTATATATGTCATTGTACAACTACCGACAAAACCAGTAATAAACTAGCTACGCAGTAGTGCAGTCGTTTCATTGCTACCTATCGACACTCCATCTGGCGACAAGGACGGATTTTACCCACAATTTTTTTTGTGAGCAAGATGGACAAAGTTATTGGAAATATTGGAGTTTTCGATCATAGTGTGCAAGAATGGGACGTTTTTTACGGGCGATTAACACAGTTTATTAAGTTAAACAGTATTTCGAACGATAGTGCAAGTGCGGTATTATTAACTCATTTGTCGGATGAGTCTTACCGCCTGGTTCGGAATCTTGTGCACCCAGATAAACTAGAAGCTAAATCATACGCTCAGCTAGTTCAAGTACTCAACCAGCATTTTACTCCGAAACGGTCAACCTTCGCAGACAGAGCCAAGTTCTTTGAAGCCACGAAATCAGTGACGGAAAGTAGTCAAGACTGGGCAGCTCGACTACGCGGGCTAGCTATTAATTGTGATTTCGGAACGGAACTGGACGTACTTCTTCGAGATCGTTTCGTACTCGGTTTCAACTTGGGAACAGAACGAGACCGGCTATTCGAGAATGATTGTAACACATTGACGCTCGCGAAAGCTATTGAAGTAGCGCAGCAAGCGGCGTGCGCCAGGCAGGCCCGCACGCCGGTCGTCAAGGAGGAGGCCGTGTACCGCACCGCAGCGCGTGCTGAGCGCCCGCGCCGCGGCTGCAGTGGTGGCGGCGCAGGCGGCGGAACCCGCCGGGACGACGGCGCCGGAGCTACGCGATGCTCAGTGTGTGGATTAAACAATCATGATGTGACAAGATGCAGGTTTAAAAACTACAAGTGTCAGAGTTGTGGACAAAAAGGTCACCTTAAAAAAGTGTGCAGTGGTAATAAAGCTAAGTTACATAATATCGGTACGGAAACAGTGGAATCTCAGGAATGTGAGGATTGTAAGGAGTGTCAAATGTTTAATATGAGGTACGTAAATAGTAAACCTTTCAGGCTGTCGGTCAATGTGAGTGGAGTTCAGATGAATATGGAGTTGGACACTGGTTCTGGTTGTTCAGTCATATCCGAGAATTTATATATTCAACAATTTTGTTCCTTAAAATTGTATAAAGACAATCTAAAAATGTGTTTTTATACTGGCCATCAAGTCACGCCCCTTGGTTATTTTCTTGCTGAAGTTTTTTATGAAAATAAAACGGAAGTTATACGATTTTATGTTATAGCTAATGGGGGACCCCCCCCCTCTTGGGGCGTAATTTCATGTCAAAATTTAAATTGCATTTGACCACCGAAAATCACAGCATTCAAAGTGTAGATGTCGATAGTGTCAAAGAGATCCGGGACCTATTAAATCAATATCCAGCCGTTTGGAAAGACGAGTTGGGTTGTTTTACTAAATTCGACGTTGAATTGCAGTTAAAGGATGATGCTAAACCTAAGTTTTTTAAGCCACGCCCAGTACCTTTTGCCTTGAAAGATAAGGTGAGTGCTGAATTAGACAGATTAGTAACATTAGGTATTTTAGTGCCGGTTAACCATTCAGATTACGCCACCCCGATAGTACCAGTGTTGAAGGAGAATGGAAAATTGAAAATCGCTGGTGACTTTTCCTGCACGCTTAATAAGGATCTTAAAATAGACAAATACCCACTGCCTAGAATAGAGGAGGTTTTTTCAAAATTAGGAGGGGGGCTACAATATACGAAAATTGATTTAAGCAACGCATACAACCAATTTAGGTTAACTAAATCTTCACAAAGACTTACTACAATCAACACTCATAAAGGTCTGTTTTCGTATACTCGGTTAGTCTATGGATTGGCCAATGCACCTGCTATTTTCCAAAGGGCTATGGAAACGTTACTGTCAGGGTTAGACGGAGTGAGTATATGGTTAGATGACGTTTGCATCACAGGTCCGACGAAAGAAATTCACTTGACGAGGTTACAAGAGGTGTTAAGAAGGTTGAATGAGTCAGGGTTACGGTTGCAAAAGGACAAGTGCGTATTTTTCCAAAACCACGTTACATACTTAGGTTACGTTATTGATAGGAGCGGACTAAGAACTTGTCCAAAAAAGGTAGATGCTATAATTAAAGCGCCGGCGCCTGAAAATATTTTAGGGATAAAAAGGTTTCTAGGCGTAGTAAATTATTATAGAAATTTTGTGCCTAACGCCTCATCTATGCTAAGTCCTCTACACGAGTTATTGCGTGGTGGCGTTGAATGGAAGTGGGGTGAGCGGCAGCAGGCGGCATTCGACAACATTAAGCGCGAACTAGCCAGCGAGCGTGTGCTGGCGCACTTCGACTCGGCAGCGCCGCTCACGCTGGCTGTGGACGCGGGCCCGGGAGGTCTCGGCGCTGTGCTCGCCACATTCGATGCGCAGGGCTGCGAGCGCCCGATCGCGTTCGCCTCGCGGTCGCTATCGGCGAGCGAGCGAAATTATAGCCAGATTCAAAAAGAGGCTACGGCAATCATTTTCGGCGTTAAACATTTTCACCAATACCTATATGGTAGGCAAAAACCATTTGTATTGAAAACCGATCACAGGCCGTTAATATCTATATTTGGCAAAAAGAATGGAATTTCCGTAACCGCCGCGTTGCGTTTGCAGCGATATGCAGTTTTATTGTCAGCTTATAACTATACAGTACAATATGTAAGTGGACAAAATAATCAAGTCGCAGATTATTTCTCCCGCGCTCCGTTACAACAATCTATTAATGATGAGTTAGAACAGGAGGGAGATAGGTCATTCATGTTTTTAGATTCACGTGTAGAACCGGTTTCATTTTCTAGAATAAGGGAGGAGACGAATCGCGACAACGTGTTATGCACAGTTATTAAATATATGACACACGGTTGGCCAAGGAAAATAGCTTGCAAGTCCATATTACCTTATTTTCAGTGCAAGACTGATTTAGAAATGGTTGACGGTTGTCTGTTGCGCGGTCATAGAATAGTGATTCCATTTATTTTCCGTGAAAACATGTTAAGAGAATTACATTCGTCGCATTTTGGTATCGTCAAAACAAAAAGTGCGGCACGTAGTAGAATGTGGTGGCCCGGTATAGACGGCGACATCGAGCGCTGGGTGGGTGCATGCAGCGCCTGCGCGGCCACGCGCCCAGCACCGCCGCGCGCGCCTCCCGCGCCGTGGCCGCGCCCACTCATTCCGTGGCACCGCATACATATTGATTATATGACGTTTGAGCAAAAGGATTACTTGATCATAGTAGATGCTTTTTCCAAATGGCTGGATTGTATTTATATGGACCGAGGCACTTCGACCTCTGCCCTGATAATGAAACTTAAATCAGTTTTTTCTGTGTTTGGTTTGCCGAAAGTATTAATATCAGATAATGATGTCAAGATAAACTCTTTCGAATTTAAAACGTTTTGTAAAGCAAATGGCATTGATTACTTAACCTCGCCTATATATCACCCGTGCAGCAACGGTCAAGCAGAAAACTCTGTCAAAACCTGCAAGAAAATGCTAAAATGTTTATTTTCAAGTATTAATGGTAATCATAACTCCTTACAGGAAAAGTTGCTGGGTTTTCTGTTTGATTACAGAAATACTGTACATTGTGCCACGGGTCAAACGCCAGCTCAACTGATGATGGGTAGAAATTTGCGTTCGAGATTGGATTTGATTCTTCCACAAAGTAAGGGTTGTCTGGACTTAATTGAAAAAGGAGCAAAATTAAAACAAAGTCAATGTTTCCGAGTTGGGGAAACTGTGTGGGCCAGGTGGTTTACACACAGGAAAATGTATTGGAAAGTTGGATTAATAAAATTAGTGTTAAGGGTAATCGAATGTTTGAAATTCTATTTAAAGATGTCAATGAAAAATGTAAGAGGCATGTCGATCAAATTCGAAAGTATACTGGTCGGAGCCCAAGTTCTGTATGTTGTAGTGAATCTTTACAAGGTGCCTCCGATACGCAACCGCTCATTCCTATTACAGATCAGTCTATACAAGCGTCGCAGCGGGAGTGTTGTTCCGCAGACGCAACCCCTGCGTATTCTCCACCTTCGTCAGTTGCCACTGAGGAAAATGAAGCAGTGGTAACCACGGAAGGCGAATATAATAATAATAACGAAAATATAGAAGGAACAGAAGCGGAAATTGAGGAGTGGGTGGAAGCTAGTGACGTAATAGAGGCTGGAGATACTGTACAGACCGAAGGTCATGTGTCCGACCAAGTTACTTCCGAGTTAGGCGATGAAGTTAGTAGCAATTCAGTAGTTGAGCCGGTGGGTCGTTCTAGAAGACTTAAGACAAGATTTAATTATAAGCCGTATTTTTAATTATGCAAATGTCATATTTCGATTGCTTAAGTAACCATACAATAGTATGGTATATTGTTATATATTGTATATTGTTGGCAGGTTTCCAAAGTAATGCGGGAGGGATGGTATATATGTCATTGTACAACTACCGACAAAACCAGTAATAAACTAGCTACGCAGTAGTGCAGTCGTTTCATTGCTACCTATCGACACTCCACATCTACATATCTTTCGCTAGTTAAAGAGCCGTTTTCTATGATCACCAGCTCTGTGCGACTTTCAGAAGAAATTCCGGCCCACACAAGTACAGACCCACCACCGTAGGCTACTTTTTCTTCGATGCATGCTTGCTTGAATCTTTCCCCTGGTCTTCTATACACTCTGTGTCTTCCATCGTGCTTGTAGAGCATAAATTTTGATTCGTCGGAGAACATAACTTTCGACCAATCTTCAATACTCCAATTTACGTGGTTCTGGGCATATCTTAGTCTTGAAATACGATGCCCACGCTCCAGTATAGGGCCTGCAAACCTGCAAACGGTCTAAGGGGTTTTAAGATAGATTCAGCAAGCCGACGTCTTACTGTCCATGCACTTGGGTTACTTCCTCCGAGGCGTCGAAACTGATTTGTGAGTTCAGCTCCTATGAGAAAGCGATTTCGAAGCATGGTGTTCACCAAGTATCGGTCTTCTCGTGCTGTGGTACACCTAGTTCTGCCCGTTCCTGGTCGGCGTAGGTTAGAACCAGTTTCTTCGTAACGTCGGAGAACTCTTTGTACTGTTGACAGCGACACACCGACAGTCCTGGCTGTATCGCGCTGACTCCGGCCAGTTTCCACCAATGTAAGTATTCTGGTGCATTCTTCAAGTGTAAGCGACATGATTTCAGCTTAAATAATGAATATTAAGCACTATCAACATGGTTTATGTACCCACACAAATGACAGATTACAAACAAAAGCGAAAACAAATGCTGTAATTTCGTAGTTCCATCTTCGAAAGTGTTCCCTTTTCATATTTGATTTTTTTATGATATAACTTTACAATAACTAAAAAGTTTTAATACCTTCATTTAAGGAGTATTAAATTGTCTATTAAATACAATTTATTGCATTAACCTAGCATTTTTAGTTTCCGAGATTTTTCGGATTCTTTTAGTGACCCGGATTCATTGCTCTCGAGTGTATCTAAATAAAACTAGTCTTTGTTTACACTGATGCACGCAACTGTACTCACATTAGGAACATACTCGACGCAATGCAGGTCAGAGTTGGAGAGCACGACGCGCAATTTACGCTTCATGCTGTTGAACACCTCGGGATCGTTTAAGTCCACTACGCCTTCGCATCTATGCATAACAGAAACAAATGGTGTTTGACAAAGTCATAATTATCGACATGACAGGTAAGACTGCTCTTAGAAGATGTAAAGTTTAAGGTTCCTATATAACTTTTTTCTTAATAAATGGCCTGTGTGACTAATTAGTCTCAATTCTAAGTTTGCCATCTTAGATAGCTTGGAGTAAGATTGTGTAAAATAAGTTAAGTAGTGTAAAGCCCGTCTCGCTCAGTGCACGGACGCTATAGTCCATTTGTTTAGGCACTTAACTAAATGTGAACAATCTTGATACATTTTTTTATTGAAACATAGACTTTACAAATCAATGGGTATAAAAATAGGAATGGAATTTCATATGAAGAAAACTATTTGTATTTTGTATTTCAAGGCAAGTAAAAATCATTTCAAAAATGTATATTTCATTAAATAGACATTTCAAGATTGTTTACATTACATAGCTATTTGATTTTTATGAAGACCAATTATTTGTATCGATTTATTTCAATACGGTTTTTAAGCAAATTGATTCAACATTAAGTTCAAAATTAAATAAATTTTATTCATTTCTTTTTTTAACTGCTTCTGTGGCCGAACGGTCACCGTGCCGAACTGCCACGCAGAGGTCGCGAGTTCGATTCCCGTGTCGGGAGAAATATTTGTATGGCCTACATTTATTTCTCTCGCGAGTTTGGGTGTAATTTGTGGTTGTCTATGTGTATGTCCATGGTACCGCAACACAGGGTTTCCCTAGTTTAGCTATGAGTGTGTGCGTCAATTTGTCACGTCCGAAATTTGTGTCGGTACTTGGTCAGCTTACAAGACGATAGTGTTATACTCATAACTGCTGATGTCAGCGTCAGGCATGTCAGAGACATGAAAAAAATAAAATAAAAGTATGTCAAAAGGGTCCATGACTCAGCCCTGAGGACTATGCTGATTAGATAGCCCTTCTGTCATGGCCCGTCATAATATAGAACACCACAATTCAAATAATAATATAAATACGTTACATGTTACGTACAAAACAAAAATTACAATAACTGTAGACATTTAGGCACTAAGTAAATAAAATTAGACACAAGCAACAATTAGGCAAAAAAATCGATTTGAGTAACAAAAAGTTTTTCAATAACTTAATACCAAACATACACAAATACACAAATACATAGAACAGATATACAAACATAAGCTATTTCTTAAACCCTGCGTCCCGAGATTGCTTTTCATGTCGCGCCTTATCGAGCTAGCTCTACAGATGATGGGTGATAAACATACCTGTCCATGTCAGCGTCTGGCACGTCAGAGATACGTCGCTGACTCCGGCGCTGCTTGCTCGAGTCGGTGGAAGACTTGCGTCTGTATTTGGCCAAAATATCCTCTGAACTTTCGACGCTGCCATCTGCGCGGCAACCGTCATCGCTACGGGCTTCTTCTTCGGGTAGCTTAATATCTATATACATATATATATTAAGTTTTTATTAATCTGATTTGGACGCTTGGTGATAGGTGGAGTGTTCGGGAGTTTCTAGTAATCCGAAGGAAGAACGGTGGGGATGACACTGAATTGTAAATAAATAAACCTTACCGTTGCTATGCGTGTGAGAACGTCCCTTCTGACGGAACATTTTGATCTTGTGCAGCAAGTTGCCGCCAGAGCGCTTCACATTGTTCTTCAACTCGTCTAAATTGCCTACCAGTCCATCTTCGCCTGATATTCGTCTCCTGAAGGCAACGTAAAGAAATTTATGTATTTCGAGTTCTAACGTCCTCGCGATTGTTACACATACGAAATGAAACTATTTTTCCGGGTTTAATTCGCGTATATTTGTTTTTTCAGTCAACCGTGACCATGGGACCTGTAAAGGGCCCAACACACGACGAACATTTTTACGGTGATGTATACTTCTCGAGCTCCTATAACATTTTCTGAACGCTAAACTAGAGTACAATAATCATGTCGACCCCTCCTACGTAAAATATGTTGAAATTGCCAAGTTTACAGGGGAGCGTTTTAAAGTTTTGAATTCACTGAAATGAGTATAATTATACAATAAATTGTGGTAGTTCATCTAACCATATCTAAGATTTTATAATACTCTTTTGTGAGTAACGAGCTTTGCCGAATAAAACTGCAAAATTATAGTTACGTGTTATGCTCATTGCAGTGAATTCAAAACTTTAAAACGCTTCCCTGCAAAACTTGGCAATTTCGACACACGATACTTTACGTAAGAGGGGTCGATATGTTGTTTTTTGTCAATAAATTTTATCCTTTGATATTGACGTTTTGACGTTTCAGTCGTCTATGATCCTCTGGTTCCGTTGGATAGATTATACCACCCTGCACTGGAAGTGACGATAGAGTTAGAATGTAGCGCGAGACCTTCGCTCTTTCGTGCCCCTCGGCAACAGGGTATATGTCCTGATTGGAATTGGCGTAAAGCGGACTATCAGGTATTGTATGCGGCTTTATCTAAAATAGACTGGGCTGGTTTGTTCGAAGTTCGACATGCTGATGAGGCTGTTGGATATTTTTATTCAAAAATATATATTAATTGTACTTCATTGTGCAGTAAACGTTTGTTTTGCTTTTAAGATGTACGTATATATTGTAATTAATGTTGTCCTATTTAAAATATCAAGAGTTTTGAGGAAATTTAGACATGTATATCATTAACTTTTGTTTCTGTACAATGTGTTGATACAAAAAACAGTGCAATCAAACAATGTTAAGTCAATTATAAGACAAATGTTTTTGTTATATTTTTAAGGTAAGTCTCACTGCTTTGATAAACGACGGTTTGTTTGAAAAATGAAATATAAAAATAGTTTCATTTCCTAAATTTATATATTTCTTAATTATAATTCTATTTATTGCGTATATCAGTATCCCGTATATCTTTAATCCTGTTGAAATTTTTAAATGATATTTCAGCTATGCATCGTTAGGGTACGTCGAACACGTTAACTAATTTTAACTGGTTTTTAAAAGATAATTTTGTGATCTATTCTTTGCTACTTAAAACGGTTATTTATTTGACCATTTGTCACTTAGCCGCGTTATAGTTGGTGGACGGCAGCAAAGACTTACCTCTGTGACTTTTCTGCTGTAGCGTCGAAACTGATACTCTTCGGTATAGCCCCAGTGGAAGGCTTAACAGGCGGCGGACTCACACGTCTCTCCGTCACATTCTCCGAGTTGACATCCTGACTGGAACTTTTATCCGACACAGAAGTCTCTGCACTGTTCACCGACAAGGTACTCAACGACATATTACTAGTACCGTCCCTTTTCTTCTCGATTCTCGAAGAACTAATGCTTACAATACTCGTTCGCATTTCGGATTTCACTATTCGAGATGTTAAATTGTTGACCAAGTTGGCAGATGTGGATATCGTGGCGGAGCTCATTCGAGTCATCAGGTCCGTTATTGTGGATCGAGATTCTGTTTCTTGGCGCTCCGTGTCGATGCCCGAGTCGAAGCGACGGTCGTATTGGGAGACTGACAGGGCGTTGAACGAGCTTTCACTGGAGTTAAGTGACCTGTGAAACAACAGTGTTTGTTAATTGGTGTTTTTCACATACATACCGTTACAAGCACGGAAGAACTGTTGCATTTGGTCAATAGGGACAAGTTAAGTAACATTAGAGCTCGTTAGGAAAGAGTTCGCAAAGTGTAGTACTGCCACCTTACCTATTTCTGACGCCAAGCAGTAATGTGAGCAATACTGTGTTCCGCTTTTGAAGGGCAATATGTATTTGTTATGCAAGGTTGCAAAGTTGTTGTTTGACGCGAGTGAAGGAAGCTAAGATTGAACGAGGGAAGCGAGTGGTTCAAAAATAGAATCCTGAGCGTAGCGAGGTTTACAAAGCACTAGACGCAAAACAACTTTTCACCTCATTATAACGAGGAAAATGGTAAATGAAATAAAAACAGTTGAACCATAAAACATCAGTTTATATAATGAAAAGAAAAAGTTTATCTTCGGATGTGTTCTGAATTTACACCTCATTTATTTTTATTTATGCTTGTACTTTTATTTTGTGTCATTAAGTGATTATTTAAATTGTTTCAGTTCTTTGGCGAATTAAAATAATTTAATAAACACAATTAGTTATCATTGTCAATTTAATGTCAACAATAATAAGAATAAAATATACCAACGGATTTATATTACATAAATAAGTAATATACCTACGACAAATCGCGTAGTTGAACGTGGTTATTACCTTTTTTTTGATCGAAAGAAAAAGTTAGGTGCAGCACAGTCCATCGTCAAGTTCGAATTTCAAAGACCTTTTCCATGCTAGCGTGCAAAAAACACTTTCGCGCGCAGGTTTCTAATAAGAAAGAAAGCCTTTCCGTGCTAAGTAATTTACCCTTCAAAACCGGAACAAAGCAAGTGCTGGTGAAATACAGGCACATGGTACTTGTCAACTGATGTCTCAGGGTGACGGGCATAGTGTCAGTGCCCCTCAGATCCTTGTGAATTAAAACTCTCGAGTGGCACTGCAACTGCCACGGACAGGTCTGTCGCTTTTCACCAGGCGCACGACTTGGTCGTCCCGTCACTTGGTGTCCTAAAAAAAAGTTGGCCGTACTGATGATGGCTAACCCCCAGTGGTGGAGAGGCACTTTAAGAAGAAGACATAAATACCATCATCCTAGTCTCTCACTACGGTAGCCAAATGCTATGAACCTTTACAAAGAACGCTCCTGACATAACAACGGGCCCCACGGTATAAGCGTGTATAATAATAGGTAATAAATGTAAAGATAATACACGTTTATTCGGTGGGCCCCGTATATAACCCCTTCGCTTCCTTCCTTATCCTATCTTTTCACATACGCCCATCATGTATTTATTCTTGGTATTTTAGACCTCGCCTCTTGCAAGGACACCTCCTCTGTCTACAAATAATGTCGCCGGAGACACAGATTACTTAATAGTCATTACCTAAAAAATACGTCACTACATGCAAAATCGAAAATATCTACGCTATAATAGCCTACTAAATCTGACGAATGAGGAAAAAGGAACCTAAGCACGCGCTCAGAGAGGTGAAAATAACGTTCCCGCCGAGTGCAGTCATGCGGAACCGAATATTGGGGTTGTACAAGGATTGTAATGTAAATGAAAGACTTGTCTGAGCGCTTGCACTGTCGGCGGTACACTCAGAGGTCACTCGGGAGCCCTGCCGAAGGTCGATTTGAGCTCGTGAGCTTCGTCGGAAGACGACGCCTAGAGCGATTTCACATCGTACGATATAATCTTAGAAGTAGAAGGCAGCGGTTTCGTAATGAAAATTGTGCTATTCTCTATTTGAGTAACCATAACCAATCAATCATTGGGGATTCGTTCACGCTTTGGCGAGACTATCTATTCGATATAACAACTCACCTATCCATAAGATCATTGTCGTCGTAAGGCTTCGAAGTCGACGGCAAGTCGTACTTAGAAGTGGAAGGGAAAGGAGCGTCTGGCGAGTGGTGGGGATCGTTGGCTCGCTGCGGGAATGAGTCATCCACCCATTGGCTGGTTGCGTCTGATTGGCTTTTCCCACCTTCCAAGGTCGATTCAGTTGGTGCACTACTTCTGAAGAATAAGTCAAGCTATACTTCGATTCAATCCATTTTCAACAAAATGTAAACAACAAGTCACTGACCCGACCATAGACTGTTTAGTGATGGCTAATCGTAATGCCAACTACAAATAGTCATAGATGTACAGAGGAGAAAATAACCTCACTTTTGGACTACCATTTTTCAAATACAATTTGACGATGTTATTCACATAATTATTGCTGGAAAAAGTGATGCGATATCAAGCGAAATCCTCGAAATATACGTGAAAGTGTCACTTATTCGATTTATTGCGTAACTGCTTTAGAATTTTAACCAAACAGTTGATTGTATAGATGATATGAGGACGCTCAAATCCCGAACGGATTCATATTGTCATGACCAAAATATACGGAATGGCCATTGACTTACAATTATATGGACGTCGGGTCCGCGCTAAAAAGTGTCCGCACTTGTAAGGCGCTAAAATCGTATACAGAGCGCGACACTCCGTTTTAGTCTTCATTTGTTCTACGGACAGCGCGATACTGCGATGACATAACAATTTAAATTTCGAATAGGTTGACTTGGGACATTTTTTTCGTGGTTTTTGTATTAGACCCGTCGTCCATTTATTTGTAAGTCAATGGGAATGGCTGATTTTTTCATTCAAGTCTATCTAGTATTACTAACGATACCTTTTCAGAGTAAAACTGTAACTTGTCAATCTTTTCCCGTAAAAGTGTATTGGCTTACCCATTTTGCGGAACATAATCGAATACATCGTTAGGCATCGCGGCAGGCGCAGATGTGCTCGGACTCTCAGGGGCTGACGTAGCGTAGCAAGTCATTACCTGTTTTACCACATACAAGTTGTCTGTAAAACTTTAACTGAAGAGTTTTATTTGAACAAGTTTATTTTCAAGCGGTTGCGTAATTTGGAAAATGGCCTGCCACCCTTAAAAAAACAATGAATGTGCTTTGTACGGATGTTCTCAATTTTCCTTTGTAAGGCTGGTTTCACAGCTGTGTGTACCGACTGTCCGCCTGCGGGCCATCCGCATGCGTAGAATCGAGTATTTAAGTCATTGCGGATATTCACGGAAGACAGTCGTCTACAATGAACGCGCGGGTGGCTAGTGCGGAGTCCACGCGGAGCGTGTTCTGTACGGAGCAATCCGCGTCACTGTGAAACGATGTTCTAACGCCACACGTGTTACTCCGCTATGGTGCTCCGCGCGGACGGTCCGCAAATAAATCCGCACTGCTCTGAAACCAGCCTAAAGGCTGTTAGGTACATGATATGTTCACAAACATTCTATCTTATTCGATGCCAATGGAACCGCCTACTGACAGTATCGTCAGCCGGACCACCGTCCCGACTCGACTGCCAGTTGCGGCAAAAACTGTTCAAATCCCCCTTCATTAGTAACACAGGTCTGATTAAGTTTGATGTTGAAGCGTGCTAAGAAGTCGGGTTCTCCCCTTACCCACCCGTACCGGATACCCGTTAACGAGTATGCTCTTCCTATTTTCAAGGAAGTGCTGTGGTCCTTGCGACGCTAAATCGAGCTCGCCGCCTCGAGACAGTGCTGCTGTTGCACTTAGGTAACCTCCGCCAGACCTGAAGGCAAATTACGTGACATACGCCGCTTTTTAACTATGGTAGCCCAATGGGAGATCGATCGACGTTTCGGATCGCCGTAGCGACACATGTTGAGCTCAATTTCTAACTTTCATACATTTATGAATATATTTTATTATTGAATTATACTTCATTTTTTTAGAATTCGAGAAACTGTAAACAAGAAGCAGTGATCGAAAAACCTTTTTCTTCAGACAATAAATATTATTACAGTAAAGGAAAATATAAATGATGAAAGGAAAATATCGTGAGAACTGATGATAAATGACATAAATAAACGACACGGCAATATCATGTTATTATTGTATAAAAAGTCTACGTCCTTTGTTAATTTAATTTTTTTAACGCAAGTTTTTGGAATAGATTAAGTGTGTAAAAATAGAAAATGTTTTTTTGATCTTTAGTGAATATTACAAGGAAATTAAAATGTTATAATGACATTAAACTAGTATATATTATGAATTATTAATACAAAGATCGAACACAGAAAAATTTTCGATCAGATGGGATTTGAACTTGAAAATATGTTTGAGAATTTTGTTTCACTGTATTTATGAAATTGTTTTGCTTACAAAATTACTGAATGAAATAGCGCCTGATAAAAAACTCAAAACTTATAAGTATAGCAGCAACACATCTCGTTAACGAAAACACAGGATGTAAGCTGCGAGTTGGGAGACTTCAAAGTGAGTCTCGGTAAGGGGGGACCTACATTGAAAAGGGCCAGCTAACGCTCTCATAAATGTATGCGACACAAAATAATGCCGCATCCAAGTTTGGAGGTGCTCGCTGCACCTTTGGAACTTTTATATGTCAAAAAATCAGGATAAATTCACCTGTTAGATAAACAAGATCTCGAAGTATGCCTTGGACTGTTCACGTCTGGTCTTTTTGCGCTTCCGTTCTAGAACAAAAATCAATGAATCACGGAAACTTTACACAAAAACGGCATATAATAATCTAGCACAGAATTTACCACACTGTGAAATAATCATTGTTTCAAAGCCTGTATAAGTAAGACAAACATTTTACCTGGTTGGACATTTTCACTGGAGTGGAGTCCTCCTGATGTGAAGGTCTGCGCGGCCAAGAGGTGTCTGACCTTGCAGCCACTGACACACAATCATCTGTGTCCACCTGCACGTAAACACAATTTCGTATAGTACTTTAAGATTGTCCTGTTAATACTGCCCTCGGAACGAAAAAGGGCACAACATTTTTATCAAAATTGAGTTACATATATGTTAGAGATCAGAAAATAAAGGCCAATCTAATGATTTTTTATGTAAATGTATCTAATAATTGTTGAAGTTACGAGTAGTATATTTACGAGGCCTATGTTTATGTGAAACAATATCTAGGCAACTTTAATATAGTCAAAACTAGATATCCTAGAAATACAAGGAATAAAAGAGAAATACGGCACAACCAATGCCCTAATTAGGAATTTTACAGTATAACGATGGTCGTATTAGCACCCAAATTATTTAATAAATTACCGGATGCCGTTAAAGAATTAAATGTACATGTATATACAATACAGTGTATACAATTTTAAACGCAATTGCATAATTTGTTAGTTATGCTACCACAATGTTGATGATTTTTTACTAGATAACATAAAATGTGAATTTAACTATTGTATGCATTGACTTACAATTATATGGACGTCGGGTCCGCGCTAAAAAGTGTCCGCACTTGTAAGGCGCTAAAATCGTATACAGAGCGCGACACTCCGCTTTAGTCTTCATTTGTTCTACGGACAGCGCGATACTGCGATGACATAACAATTTAAATTTCGATTAGGTTGACTTGGGACATTTTTTTCGTGGTTTTTGTATTAGACCCGTCGTCCATTTATTTGTAAGTCAATGATTGTATGTTATATTTTTGACTTCCAATTTTCTGGTTAAATTCCAATTGTTATTGTTTGCTTCTTATGTTATTCTATTAATTTAACATTGAGTGCATTTTTATTTCGCTTTTGATGCATCAAAAGCGAAATAAACATAGTATACTGCGTGGCCGAACGGTTACCATGCCGGACTGCCACGCAGAGGTCTCAGGTTCGATTCCCGGGCCGGGCGAAATATTTGTATGACCTACATTTATTTCTCTCGTGAGTTTGGGTGTAATTTGTGGTTGTCTATGTGTGTGTCTATGGCACCCGCGACACAGGGTTTCCCTAGTGCGGGGCTATGTTGAGTGTGTGCGTTATTATTATTATTATAAAATATTCGCATGCCAAATTTTGGCGAAATGTACGATCTAATACTATAATGTCAACCACATTTTTCAGCGAATAAATATCTTATATTATTGTATTCTTGAATATACAGCAAGCTCAAAGATAACTTGATGACTTCAATAATGAGATTTTTAACTATATATAAAGTTATATTTGACGATTATTACGTTAACTATAGTAATATCAAAGGATTTTAGTCACAAGATCTAAAATTTTCCAAACAAATGCCGACGACACTATTAACAGATGGCAGAAAAAGAGACGAAATATGGCCCGTCCATCAGGCAAATTTTCCTTATATCACTTTTAAATATCAAGTCGCGTTTGCGCTGAAATAACAAATTAGAAAGCTATAGTATAGCGCCAACAACTGACCTGTGTATACGTCTCCGTATATTCCAAAAATATTCTGCATTTATTGTAATAAATATAATAACTCTAACTACGGGGTGCCGTTCCAATAGGTGGTGTAGGAAAATCAACAAAACATATAATTACAAAACAAACTTAATCACATTTCGTCGGTAATTATATATTCAATTATGTAATTTTTCAATTTTCGTCCATTACAGCAAAGCTATTAACTTGAGTTAACAGGTAGATTTGACGACACCCGTCAATTGTTTCGAATTCGGGCTGACCAATCCGAGCGCAGTTGTCAGCGTAATAATATGGCAGAATAGCTTTCGAACAAATTAAATGACACTTCGTCTCTTTTTCTATATACTCGATGGTATAAGCAAAGGGTTGCATGTATGTATCTAGGTATGAAACCGAATGGTAGGTTTGCGTCTGTTAGATTATTTTTATTCATACCTCAGTGTTGCGATCGCTGTCGGAAGCCAAGACATCCATGCTCCAGGCAGACTCGCTGGCTGTCTCCGATACGTCTGGCGCGTTTGTATTATTCGCATTAGCACCTACAATTCAATAAACAAGTATAACAAAACAAAATATAGTGTACAATACGTGGCTAATAAGGAATTTCTAGTAATAATTTTAGTAGCAGTAGAGCTCCTAGAAAGACTTCATCAAGGGAAGTACAGCCACCTTGCCTATTTCTTCCGCCAAGCAGTAATGTCAGCATTTCTGTGTTCCGGTTGTAAAGGGTAAGGGTGATGGTGAAATTACAGGCACATGGGACTTGTCAACTTATGTCTCAGAGTGGCGGGCGCAGTGGCACTGCCCCTCAGATCTTTGCGATCTAAAGCTCTGAGTGGCACTGCAACTGTTATGGACAGGCGTGTAGCTTACCATCAGACGCTCGACTCGTTCGTCCCGTCACTTGAAATTATTTAAAAAAATTCTACCAGCCAACCAACACACACAAACATCACGTCTTTATTGTCCTAAAACCAAGTGTTGTTTATTTAAGCACCATAATGCTCTAAGGGCAGAATGAGAACGGAGCGTTCGCTCGTGTTTACTCTTTCTCGCTTGTTTCAATGTAATATGAGAGAAAGAGAAATTAGCAGCAGCGCCGTAGTCTCTCAGATTGTTATTAGAGCCATAAGTAACGGCAAAATGTCTATTATTTTGCAAAATTACCTTGGTTAGCGGCCACTTGCGTCTGATCGCAAGAGTCCCCAATGGTTTCCGAATCGGAGGCCAGTACGTCTGTACTCCACGTGTCAGACATTATGCTGATGGTCTCATCGCCTTCCAGAAGTTTCTGAAAAGGTCACATACTTACTATAATAACTGCAAATATCTAACAATAACGTGATAACAACAATTGGTCATTCAATGTACTACGAAAACTCGAGCAGTGTAATTACTGAGAACACCTAGGCCAAAGGCAATTCAGTAAAATTTGATATCCAAATTGGTTCTACCGGGAATTGAACGCACGAATTTTGGTCGTATATGACAAAGTGTGACACGGTGAGTGCTCTGAAGAGTTATTCAACCTTATCCCTTCCTCTCCTTTCCATCAGCGGACCACCCGTGCCGGACTGCGTTGCCACAGTTGGACGGTCAGTTCAATACCGTCCCGCACTAAAAAGTTTGGCAATTCGTTCTTATGCCGAACCATCAAATTGTGGAACCAACTCCCGGCGCATGTATTCCCTCCCCTCTATAACATCGGGTCCTTCAAACGTAGTGTGAAGAAGCATTTGGCCAGACCGGCAAAATGATAGTGACGGAGTGAAGATATTTGTGTTTTCCATCCGTTACTCTCATCTCTGGACTGTATTCGCACTTTCCATCAGGCGCGGTGCAGTCATTTTGCCGAGTCACAATAAAAAATAAAAATAAAAATAAAAAAAATAAGTGCACAAGTATGCAGGCAATCTGAATAAAGCATAACGAAATTTTTACAAGTAATTAAATTTATTGAATGTCAGGAGGTTTCGCCACCATGATGTTCAATTATTTTTTCAGAAATTACTTTACTAGTTTGTTATAATTATTAATACAAAGATCGAACACTCAGAAAAAACACTCAGAAAAAATTCCGTCGATCCGGTCGGATTCGAACCGACGTCTTCTTGCATACCGTGCCAGACGCTATACCAACTAAGCCACGGAACGAACCAACGGACCTCACGAATTTTTCTATATGCTTGCGTCGTGTCTTTGTACTTGGTCTTTCAACGACTTTTTACTCTACTAGTTAGTTATAATTATTAATACAAATAATTTTATACCGTTATCTCGAATTTGCAGAACTTGTCTTCGATTTCGTTCCTGGTCTGCTTGAGTAGCTTCGCCTGCGCACTGCCAGCTTGACTGATTGGTACGTTTTGTGGCAGACTGCGAAAAGAAGATAATTCTTTAATAATGCGTTCAGTATTATACATTTTAGTAGCAATAGAATATGATGTGGAAGAATTCATCCAGGGAAGTACTTGGCTGTAGTGATAGATAAGAATGTTGCTTAATTAGGTTACCTAGATGTAGTTTCTTTTATGAAGACGGAGTAAAATGACATTTGAAGGGTTGCCAGTTATCGTAAAATTTTAAATAGTTATGTAGATGTTGTCGATAGTTTTATCGTTAGATTGTGAAAGAAAGCAAAATTTTTCAAAAAATTTACTGAATTTTTACTGAATGTTACGACGTCGTAATGATTACTAATTAAAAAATAAATAAAAAATAAAATCTCTCTTTATTGCCTCCTTGTTACAACAAACAAAATAACAACTATACATATATCAACCACTAGACTACCAACTATAACTAAACATTGCAGTACAGGAGGCAAAAGGAGGTGTCTCAGCTGGTGCTGCTCCTGTCCAGGACAGTCGCAGCGCTGGTTTTCAGTCACCCCCTTCTCCCTTAGATCACATGCGGGACAAGAGTATCGAGGGCTGGGCTAAAATATACATACATTTTTAAAATATACATACATAATTGCGTTATTGCCTTCTATAATCTTATTTTGACAGTTGGTCTACTAGCATCGAAATGAATTTTTATTAATTTACATTTTGACAAGAATTTATTACATTTCATGTCACGTTTATTATAGACATTATCTACATTGAATCAAAATAAGAAACTTTAAAATATGTATCCTCTTGTATTTTTCATAAACATAGTTCTAAATACAGTATATGAATGTATGTACTTACAAAAATTGACAATTCAAATGAACTTGTGCTCAGTAATTGGATGAATAATGGGTCGAGGATGATTCAAATGAAACAAGTTCGGCTATTTATTCCATAAGCGTGATTAATATTCAGTCGACAATCGATAAAATATTTATCGACTGCAATCACTAGCTGCACTGCACTCCGTCTTCAAAAAAGACAGACTATGAGGGTCCTTGAGTTGAAGATAAAAGGTGTATAACGTACCGCCTTGGTGGGGCATCGCCCGCGGCGTCACCGTCCGTCACCTGTGACGAAGGCGTCTCTCGACCTGAGATGTTAGGGCTGCCGCGACCGCTTACGTTCGCCGATACCTGTACATCAATAATGTGTTAAAACACTCCTATCTACGTGCAACCCAAGGGTTGTCACAAAAGTACGCAATCGAATACGCAAGCACTTAAGTGCTTATCGACCGCTCCTACGTAAAGTGTCGTATGTAGAAATTGCCAAGTTTACAGGGGAGCGTTTTAAAGTTCTGAACTCACTGAAAGAGTGATCATCTAACCGATATCTAGTATTTTATAACACTCTATGTGAGTAACGAGGTTTGCCGAATAAGACTGAGAAGTGCTAGTCACGTGTTATGTTCATTTCAGTGAAAACGCTCCCCTGTAAACTTGGCAATTTCGACATACGATACTTTACGTAGGAGGGGTCGTTATGCATTCACACACAAACTCTGTACCACTCACAAAGTCCTAACTGTTCAAACAACCTTTGAACATTCCACTCAGCAGGCAAACGACCCAAAAATAGACAACACGAAAGTGCTTCAGCAGCACTGCTGTGCAAGACGAATGACCGAAAACCAGGCTGCAAGATAATGCTTTGACGGCGCTTTACACCGACAAGACACTCAGATATTAGACACCTTTTTGTAATAGCAATTAATTTATTATTAAAATTAGTCTTTCAACAGCAGTCGAGTTTAATTTATCTCCTGCTAGCATCGTCTCACTGTGGCCAAGACACCTTTAGCCATCAGTAGATCGGTCTTGTGAGTCTGGGAGACCGGCAGTGAGAATATCCATCCCAGTACACCGTTATTTCCTTCCCCCGTATGTCTGTTGCCTTAGTTCTCACGGCGCAGATATCACGTACTTATCTATAAATTATTCAGCACACACCTACGGGCGATAGGGTTCTTCTTGCTCTACCTTATTAAGTTCATACCTGTACAGTTTGTTGACGACCACTACTCGGCAGATTGTACACTAACCAATGTTATTAATAAAATTTTATATTCAAGTTTAAACTTAACCTCCCTGGGCCTATTTTGAAGACAATTTTATTTTTAAATCTGTCCCATGTTATTGAATTCACAGATGAGCGCTGATGTCTGAAATGCACATAATTAGTTATCCAGTTCAGACGCCGATAACTTGCCCTAAATGCAATGTTGCAAGCTTAATACCATTAATGTCAAATTCGTCTGTAAGAAATTTATAAAACTAATAAATTTATTATGGAAATGATGTCTGATTCCAGTATAAGCAACCATTTCTAATGCGTCGTAGAAAATTGCTATTTCCGTGAATCCTGATCACGTGATGCATACCATATCTGAAAGATTATCATTCTGGTCCTCAGTTTCGAGCTCCAAGCTGGACGTGACGCTGTGATTAGACGCTGCTTCTGACACCGCCTCTAAGTTATCCGATGTATTTCCCAATGATACCTCATCGTGGGATACTGAAAACCTGAAAACAAATAGAGATCAGAAATGCCTCATAGATAAAACTTTCATTCAGCACATTGGCGAACAGCTATGGAGTGGAATTCCCTGCCTGCAGGCTTGTTCCTTAACCATTATAACTAAGGTCTTTTCAAGACGAAAGAGAATGGGCATTATTTAGGTGTGTATGCTCCATCGTTACTTTCCATCAGGTGAGATGGAGGTCAAATGCGCACATACATTTAATATATATATATATATATATAAGAAAAAAAAATAAAACATTTACAATCACTTCACAAGGTATAAGACATCAGACATAAAAGCACAAGGGACATAAATAATTACACATTGATATAAACACATACTTATACAGAAAAAACAAAATTTAATCATGAATAATGAAGGGACGTGCTGTAATGTTAACGTACTGGCACATACCATCATCAACAACATCATCACGTCGTACTTGCGTAATTTAAGTACCATAAAAAATGTTTTACACTAAATCGTAAGACGTGATAGTCTATGGTCTGTCTTTTTTGAAGACGGAGTAAAATGACATTTGTAGGGTTGCCAGTTTTCATAAAATTTTAAATAGTTATGTAGTTGTTGTCGATAGTTTTATCGATAGATTGTGAAAGACGACACAATTTTGGCAAATAGACTGAATTGTGAATGTTACGACGTTCTAATGATTACTAATGTTGTCATTCCACTTACGCCATTCTGGATCAACCAATGTTATGTAATAAAACTGTGTAAAAAATAATAATAAAACCAATTTGTACCAACCTATCACTCAATCTCAAAATAAATACCTAGTTCTCTTCTGCACAGGCGCACCAGGCCCAGCCACAGCGAGCGCAGAACCGTTGTCGTCGGCGTCACCTGCTTCAGAACCTCCGTAGTAACACTCCAACACTTTCGATTCCGGGACGAGACCTTTATAGAGAAATAATCTTTGCTCACTTACTTTATTAATATGTACCATTTTAGGCAAAGCATTTTTAAGCAATTTATAATAAGATTTAGTGAATGGAAAAACCTCAAATAATTCGTTAATGACATTGTACTGTATTAATTTGTCATTAATTTTTAAGAGGTATCACAAATCACGCCAGACCCAGTGCTATCAAGTGGGACTCAAATCCCATAACAAGCTAATATATGCAAGTTCGAGGTCACAAAATTTTTTTTATGATATCAAGTGACGAGATGAACAAGTCATGCGCCTGGTGGTAAGCGACACGCCTGTCCATAACAGTTGCAGTACCACTTAGAGCTTTAAATGACAAAGCTTTGAGGGGCACTGTCACTGCGCCCGTCACCCTGAGACATAAAGTTGAGAAGTTTGTGTCCCAGTGTCCCAGTCCCCAGCGCTCATTTTCCTCAAAATCCGAACGCAGTAATGCTCACATTGCAGCTTCGCGGCAGAAATAAGTATAGTCGCTGTTTCTGAACTGAGCTCTACTGTTACTAAAAGTTTTATTATAAACTAGGTTTTTCTGCCAATATACACTACTCAACAAAGTCTAGTATATATAAACTTTTCCAATATTTTCTTTAGAAATATACTGGCCACTGAAATTCATAAATGTAAATTAAAATGTATTAAATTCATCATCATCAAACTTTATACTCTTGTCGGTGGAGCCTACAAGCCAGCTCCTTGACCTCCTTATATCCTTTATTTGGTCTATGTAACTGCGCCTAAGTCGCAAAAATTAAATTACGCTTCCAAATTTAAAAATATAAAACAAAAACCAAAAGCGTATAAAAAATGTAAATAAAATTAATATTAAAACGCGTCTTTTGATAAACGCATATATAAGGAAAAAGTATGTTAAATTTAAATTATTATTGAATTGATATTCAATTACTTTTTATGTGAAATTACTCCACTATTTTGTTATAATTATTAATACAAAGATCGAACACTCAGAAAAAATTCCTTCAATCCGGCCGGATACGAACTGATTAGGTATAGCGTCTGGCAGGGTATGCTAGACCAACTAAGTTGCTAAGTTGGTATAACGTCTGCCACAGTATGCTAGACCAACTAAATTGCTTAGTTGGTATAGCGTCTGCCACGGCATGCTAGAAGGCGTCGGTTCGGATCCGGCCGGATTGAAGGAATTTTTTCTGAGTGTCCGATCTTTGTATTAATAATTAAGTTAAATTTGTAAAAAAATATTATAATAACCTTGTTCCCTAGACTTTGTTGAGCAGTATAGTAGAGTAAAAAGAGCAATTGGAAACAACCGGTTTTTTTTTATTTCGGACCTCAGTCGCCTTTTTTCAAACAAACCAACGGTTCGGGCCTTTTACGTGATCACGACTGACTGACCATGGGACCAGTCAAAGATCCGAAACGCTGGTTTGTTTTTCATGAACATCGCGAAGCTAAAATCTCTAAGAACCTTAGAACTCGATAAAAAGAGTTTTTTTTATTTTTTCATTTATTCATTTACATCAGGACACTGTGACCCATACAGTATATAACTTAAGGACTAACATCCATATGGTGGAAATTTGAAATATCGTATGGGACATTTTCCCTTACGACAAAATGTGCCTTTCAACAAAAAGTCTCTTATGACATTTCAAATTTCCAACGTCGATACAAAGGTAATAACTTTGTGATGTATTCAGTTTCAAAATGTCTTAAGTGACTTTTGACGTAAGGGACATTTTCCCGTACAACAAAATGTCCCTTACGACAATTCAAATTTCTACCGTCGAATAATTTAATATAGATTTTTTTTTAAATTAAATTAATGCCTCGAACTCACCAATATATTCATGGTCCTCAATATTAGCCAGCTTAATAATCAGCACTTCGATGTGCTCCAAGTCGTCTTTTTCAGCACTCCCGTTGAGAGGTTTGTCTTCGTTAGAGTGCATAGACAAGTTTGAGTTGGCACTTCCGGTACGCGGCAATCGCGGTTTCGGCACTTTCGCAAGGATGCTCTTCTTACTGTGCCCGTTTTCCACGGGATTGTCTTTGGTTTCTGATTGTGGGGATTGTCTGTAAAAGAATGAACGTGTACAGTACAACTATATTCTTCAATGTAAGTCCTTCTGGAACGTCCTCTTACAACCGTTCCATCGACATTCGCATCATAAATCTGTTTTGTAACTCTTCTTACATCCATCCACCCTAATGGCCCAAACCAACCTCAATATTTATTTTTCTATTCTAATCACCACATCTTCTTTCAAGCCACTTTACTTTATTCCACATTTTTTTTCACAAAGATCTCATCTCCACTGCATTCATTCTACTTTCCTGTTTCTAACAGAAACCCGAAACTTTGTACTTTTCCTTAAAGGAAAATAAAGTTTTTTCATGTTTTTTTATGAGAGAACCAATTAGAAAATGAGATTGAAACAAAAATCGTGTTACGTGGTGTTAATAGCCCGAAAAAGGATAAGACAAATTTTAAGAGTTCCAGATTTCACGGTCTTTGTTGTGAATTGTGATGTACTTATATAATGATGTTGTGTCAAAATTGTAATGTCCTTTAGTGCTGATATTATATTACCTGAGTTTTGACAGATCAGGCATCTTCCTGAGCAGGTCGTGCAGTCTGCTGCGGTAGTTGGGTTCGAGGGTCTGCAGCAGTGCGGCCAGACGCGCAGCACACGCTTCAGCGCTCGCGCCACTTGAACTGTCGCTGCTCGACTCACTGCATTACATTCAATCACACCATTTTAGGTTAGTTTTTTCACTTATGATCTGGTACTATATTTCTATACAACTGTATTTCTATAAATAGATAGGTAACGAGTTTTCAAACACCAACTTATATCTTTATTTGATCTCTATTTCAATTACATTTGAAGTCGTCAAACTCTAGTACTAATTCGAAAAGCAAATTCCCCTGTGTAGAATGAGCACGAAACTCTGGGTTACTCGTTGTAAATAAACATTTGTACACATTTTTACCGTCTCGAAAAATGGAGGAGGTGCTAATTTCGACTGTTTTTTTTTGTCTATATGTTAATTGCTACGAAACTTCTGAACCCATTTCGGTGATTCTTTTGTTGGAAAGGGGGTATCTCAGCAGTAGTCCTATTCAAATTTGAAGAAAATATTCACCCACTTTCCGTTAAACGATTTTAACAAAAATGTTACAACTATCATAAGGTACAACTTGCAAAAGCTAAACGGATCATTATCACGGATTTTTGTCATTCAACTACGCAGAAGCTATATAAATAACCTTTACTTTCTGAATAATAAATTATGACTTATGAATAATGAATAGTGAACTATCCTGTCTTTAGTCTGTTTGTTAAATAACCCATAATAAAATTAAAGTAAATTATTCACCACTTCATCTATATTGAAGTAATAAATTGAATATATTGTTACATTTTGAAGTTCTAACCCTGTAATGGTAAAATATTTATCATCAAACGAAAACATGTTCTTTTTAAAAAAAAAAAGTTCTGAAATGAAAATGGCATGCACGACACTCGCATATCTCACATACGGCAATATTTTATGGAAAGAGCATGAAGGTTCGCGTCTATTTAAAGTGTGGCGCAAATTATAACTCAAAGCGCTATAATACACCTTTTATGATGTAGCGAGTCGCTACCGCTCATGAACTTAGGCCACACATCAAGATCGTATGATCTGTTACGTCGGCGCCTACGCTGACGCCCCGCTGCATGCATCACTCTGCTTGTTCTATGCTTTGAGATTAACGCGCGCGCTTAGCTAGCTTTACAGTGCTTTCGTATTGTAATTTTATAATTTGTACTAATATATTTATCCAGTTCTTAGGTTTTCGCGATTGTTACACATAGGAAATGAAACTATTTTTCCGGATTTAAATCGCGATACTAATTTCAATAGGGAAGATGGTTTCTCCGTACCACCAGTTTGGAATCCAGTATTTCCTCTAGTGAAAAATCCCAAACAGACATAAGACTGCAGTACTAACTAATATGTTTTAGTTTATTCTAATTTCTATTATTAATTAATAATAAATTGAACTTAATAAAAGTTCATTCAATAAAATAATTTGTAAAAGTTAATGTAGAAATGTTTGAAGGAATGTTTTCTCTGTAATATTAAAAATAAGGTATTTAATTAATAACTACTTAACTATTGTAACTATAGTGAAAAAATAGGGAGGTTTGCATTAATATTAGACATAAGTTACTACTAAACAATGTGTAGAGCTTATATTTAATTTTACTTATTAATGTGCTAAGATAAATAAATGATTTCATTATTATTATTCTATTTTATTTTCACGTATTTCGGTTTCAAGACCCGAACTGATAAGATAGGGGTAACAAAGGGATAATATACTTGATCCACGATAAAATGTGTCTATAGTAGTAATAAAACAAAGAGATTATGACGACACACGTTACCTAAAAGCGGCGGCCTCAGCAACTGGCCCGGAGCTGGAGGATTGCTCTTCGGAAGTGAGGCTTGGGGTATTGTTATTCAGCTTTGACGAGATTCGCTTTAGGAACGTTACCTGTTGAATAGTGTTTAACAATGTGTTTATTAAGTGCACTTGTACCCGATAAACTAGACTTATCACTACATTGACTCACTAATAAATATGCATCGTTGGCAGTGAACAGTGCAATAGTAGTGTTCCTGACGTGGTCCGTCCGCAGCGCAGTGTCAGCTGCAGGTGGGACCTGCGCGGGCGCACATGCCTCACTCATCACGCTCTCCACTAGCGACCAGACGCATGAACGCTCGAATTTCGTGTATAGATCCCGTACTTTTGGCTCAGCCTGTGATACAAAAAAATCAAATTAAAATTTTAAAATCCCGGAAACAAAACTTTGTAAATAAATAAATTCTAGACAACATGACATACGTTACTCCGACGAAGTAACTAAAGTACTTGTGTTATGGGATTCTGAATAACGACGATACAACACCCCGACCAGAGACAATACAGAAAAGATTATCTACATTGACCGCCTCGGAACACAGCGTGTCGTTGGCTATTTACTATACTGACTAGCTTTTGTGTTAAAAACATACAGACAACCTTTGCGTCGAAAAATCTTTAGCTACTTGGAATGCACCTGTTGTCCAATTTGAACTTCGGCAGATACATTGAATCAAAGAGGCTTACAGGTGACTCGGAATTAGTAGAAGCGAAACTGCAGAGCCTTGAACACCGCGCCGTAAAGTTCCTTGCTTATCGGTATTTTACAGGATATATCACGGAGAGTGTGCGATGGAATTACGCGATTTAATTCCGCCTTCTCCTTTCCATCACCGGGAGACTAGCGGACATTCCAAAGATTCGCACGAAGCGTTACGCTTTGACATTTATTTGGTGAACGGCTATAGAGTGGAATTCCCTGCCTGCAGACGAGTTCCCTGAACATTATAACTTGGATCTTTTCAAGGCGAGAGTGAATAGGCATTATTTGAGTATGCATGCTCCATTGTCGACGTCATCGTGACTTTCCATCAGGTGAGATGGAGGTCAAAACATATGTATAAAAAAATTAAAAAAAACTTGGCAATTTGTGTTTTGCCCGATAATAATTATCCATGTACTTTTAAGATTGTAAAGGAGAAGGTCCAGAACGAACGGACGTTATATCGTTGGTGATTGCGCCAAAATGTGTGCCATTTAAAGTGTAAACGATAAGTTATCTCGTACAGAGGAGTTCTACTCATACTATAAAACAGCAGTAGAGCTCCTTGTGAGAGTTCGTCCAGTGAGGTACAGTCACCTTGCCTATTTCTGCCACCGAGCAGTAATGTTAGCATTACTGCGTTACGGTTTTGAGGGGTGGTGGTACAGGCACACGAAACTCGTCAACTGGCCTCAGGGTGACGGGCGCAGTGGCAATGCCCCTAAGATCTTTGCGATTTAAAGCTCTGAGTAGCACTGCGACTGTTATGGATAGGCGTGTAGCTTACTATCAAGCGCACTACTTGTTCGTCCCGTCACTTAACATTATATATAAGAATATATATTTATTGAAACTAGGAATTTGAAATAAATAAGTCTATGTCCCAAAATTGCTTCTCATAATACAGTGCCATATTACCGAACAAATAACAATAAACCCGATGCCGTTTGGTACAGTCATAGGCCCTCGGCTAATGACATTTTACCGATGACGTCATATTCCTTAAAGTGTATACTAAATTCGCTACACTGTCGCCAACGTCCATACCACGTTGGGTACACCGGTTCTCGTCCGATCACCGAAGTTAAGCAACGTCGGGCGCTGTCAGTACTTGGATGGGTGACCGCCTGGGAACACAGCGTGTCGTTGGCTTTTTGCTATACTGACTAACATAATAAAACACTGAGCCGTTGCTAACTTAAAACAGGCCTTATCTCAAAGACTGAAGAAAAATGAAGTTTCATACTTGACACTGTTTTAATTGTTTCGGACGGATGTCGAGCGGATAATGAGTGTAGGCCCCCAGACCTAGTCTTTCAAGGACGCAATAGTTGGTTGAGTTCCTAACTTTGCAGACAGAACTAGTCTCTCAAAGACGCAATACTTTGCAAAGTGAGTTGAGTTTGGCGGAAGCTTATGCAGAGATTTATAACAGGAACTTCGATATAGCAAAAATGGCGAACTAAGTAAGTTTTTCGTATTTAACGAACTTTGCCTAGGTTTAAACAAGAATTTCAAAAAAAAAGGAGAAATTAAACTTCGTCACAAAAGCAACGTTCATTTTTTAAATACCAAAAGCTTGCTTAGTATTAAAACTTCCACACTTACTTTACTATAAATAAGTGTCGTAAGGTTGCATGACAAAAGAACCGTGACTATTACTTCAAATATCACTGGTATGATGTTGTTGTATTAAACAATAGCCTTATCTAAACTCACCTCTTGGAACCGTGCAAGGCACAGCATCTGCATGATTTGAGCGATCTGTATGAGATTGAACCTAGCGATATAGGACACAGGGACTTCCACTACGCCATGGGCCTCTGGGTTGACAATCGCGGGGCAGATGAAGTGGTTCAACACCAGGTCCGTGCATATCGCGTGCAGCTCCTTTTCTGATATCCTGGAGGAAAACAAGTAAATATACAGGGTGTAACAGAAATGTGGAGTCATGTTTCAATGTTATATTCAGTTAATAAGGACACATTCTATTGTATTCTCGGTATAATAAAACCACTTATGAACATACGTCAAAAGTGCTTTTTAAAAGTCATATAAAAATATATGAACAACATGAAATAAATTATGTATATGTGGAATTTTAAAAGTCCATCATTTAATAATAAAGTTTTCGACACATTTCGTTCGCAGAATGTTTAAACCTCTCTCATTGAAAAGGTGTCATTTTGCAGATGTGGCCTTATTACACCAAGGGTGCGCTATGTTATTCAAGGAAATTACAGTTAATAACCAGAGTACGAAGTTATTCCTTGACTACATATTATTATGTGGATATTTCATTATATCCTAATTTGAGTGAATTAATCGATCTTTAACTAAATGGAAAACCTACGCCGACGTTAATTTCATTACATTTGTATTAATATTTTAATAGCTCATTTTCATATGAAGCTTTGCACATCGAGCTTAAATCAAATACACGTTTGGGTCCTTTAATAAGACTACACATTTACACCCTGTATACAAGTATACAAGAAAAACATTCGATAATTCAAATACAGAATGTTATCTAAACAGTTAAACTTCTAATTGCCACAGCGAACTGATGAGCGAAAAAAATATAATATTAAATGAAATGGTTAACAACGCAATCGTTAACTTCCGTAAAACCCGATTTCCGCCGAAGTTTGGACTTTAAACAATAATACTATACCTAGTATGTTGTTTAAGCAAATGCACAATCTGCTGTACAATCCATGCAATAGTTGCGGGGAAGTTCGACCAGTGCTCCCGTAACGACACGATGAACTTGCTGGTCAGGTTGTACAATGATTGCACAATCCATTTGCGATAACGCGCTACTTTAGTCGCGTACTCTTGGCTGTTTGGATGACCGAATTTTTTTAGGCGGTCTGCAGATGAGAACCTGTTGTCAGAAATAATTTACAATAAGTAAAAGTTTAGAAGAAATCAAGTAAGGAGGAAAACACGGAAAGCAACCTTGGCTATCAGAAAGATTAAACATACTTAAGAAGCTTTTAAAAACAATGATTATTTGAAATGCTGAATATTTGAAAGTGAGACATATTCATGCATGTCATAGTAAATCATGTTACAACTTGACATAGACTAAAATAAAATTAATATATGGGATAGAACGAAAAATAAATCAACAAATTTATTTTGGAGTGTACATAGGATAAACCGATTCCCTTTATTTCGATTTCGCTTGATTTCGAGTGCATTGGGAATACTACCAAACGAGCGCCGAGTGAAACAGCAACAATAACAATGATTTCACATCTCTCTCTCACCTACTCATTTATGTTATGGTGAAAAAGCTGTTATCGAAATGATTACGTTTAAGCTTATGTTAATTATTTTTTTTATTATGATCTATCATCGAAATGTTTTACGTACTAAAAAAGATAATTAAGTTATCATTTAATAAGAATTGAGGTTTTTGGTGTAGTTAAAAATGTAAAATCAAATTATTTATAATGATTGATTTTTTAGTTATTTACAGTTTATTTACACTTACGTGTTACGGACCAAGTGTTCAAAATGTCCACCGTTTTCCACAATGCATAGTCTAGCACGTTGTGGCAAATTTTGTTTTAAATTGATCAACACAAACACATTTTGTCTCACAGTATAAAATGCTGAGATAATCCTCTCATGCAACAACTTCGACACTGTTTACCTCCTCCGCGTAAACTCCAATTTGGGAACATTTCGATAGCTCGCCTCACGTTATCACCACTTATTGCGTAAAGTCGCACCATCTCAGTCAATTCGACGTTAGAATAAATATCCATTTTGCAAGCGAGAGGCGCGTTCGCCGTTGGCGCACTGTTCGGGCGAGCGGAAGTACAAATAATTTACGTGTCTTCGTTAGGCCAAGGTCGCGCGTACACTGTCTCTGCAAATGCCGACCTGTGCTTGGTTCTCGCCGCTGCGTCGGTCGGAGCAATAATAGTGGTTTGCATAGATTTCGATAAGTAATGTTGTTCACAAGTAGTAGTCGACAAAAAAAAAATAAACAAATATTTTTTGTAAAGTTTAAGTTCATTAGTTTATTATTTTTTTGGGTTCAGAATCAGGAATATAACGCACTCTATAAGTATGTCTCATTTTCAAATATACAGCCTGTATATATAAAGCTACAAATCCTGACTCAGAAAAATAGAACGCATACTTCCAGATATGGTGGAAAAAAGATATTTATACCGTTGTACGCGGATAGGCTCCAAGGCAAAGAATCAAATATGAGAAGACCTAAATGTGGAAAATATAAACGAGTGATCAACGGCCTGCAAAAACTGTAACACATGGGGGAATTTTTGTGCACTTTTATGAGATACACCTTGGTCAATTTCTGCAGAAAGTAAAAAATGTTCGAAATTCATATTAACAAAGATGGCCGCCATACAAATTTCGAAGCCTTCTATCACGGAAACTATTAGAGATAGGTAGGAGGTGCTGGAAGGAATGTCATAGAGGGTAATAGTGGTCAACTGCCTGTGTAAAAAAACTTCAAGATGGCGAATCCAAAATGGCGGCCGAAGAAAAACTTGCTTCGATGCGGCTGAAAATTGGCATGCAGGAGAGGAATCTTTGGGGGAATCATAATTTGGGGTCAAAAGATTTTTTCGCCATTTTTTTATTTTCTTTTCGTTAAAAATAGCTGCCGAAAGAGGCTCGCTCTGTTTCAGCTGAAAATTGACATGTGAAGGCCTCTAGAAATGCCGGATAAATATTTGTTTTGTGTGCTCGAAATTAATTTTTCCCCGTTTTCAAATATAGCCGCCATAAAAGCGTTTGTTGGCAATAGAAAAAAATTGTTCTGATCCCTTCGAAAATTGTCATGGGGGGTTTTTAGTAGTGCTTTTTGGAAAACTTTTTGGCGGCAGATAGAAATTTGCTCTAATTCAGATGAAAATCGGCATGTGGGGATCTCTATGGCTGTTTAATAATAATTTGCGATAAAAATTGACTTTTAGTCATTTTTCAATATGGCTGCCTTACAAACTTTTTTAGCGGTTGATAAAACTTTGCTCGAAAATCGCCATGTGGGGTTCTCTATGGGTGTTGAATAATAATTTGCAGTCAATATTAACTTTTTGCCATTTATGAATATGGTCGCCATTAAAGAGCTATTGTTAATTTTTTAAAGTCATAAGTGCCGAGGCCGTAGGTCGAGGTGTACCGGAGGGCGAAGCCCGAAGCGTCCGCACGCCACCTTACGTAGTTAGTATACAGAGACTCTATTACGGGTACAAGATTTCACAATTGTTCAAAATGTAAGGCATACTTCCCGATGTAGTGGAAATAAGATACTTATTTACTTATACAACTTATAGCGTTGTTGTATCTCGACCGTCTCTCTGTTAGATTATTTTTTCTTGGAAGCTATGCCAAAAAGAAAAGTATTTAAGGAAAAAATGCCAGGCAATCAATCACTCCAAATTTGTGGTCTCAAACTAGGGAATTACCTGTACTATGAGTACCAGAGTAACGATAATTATGAGGGCAATACCCAAAATGACCCCTGACCAGAAACAACTTTAAAATGTTTTTTTTTTCATAAATTGGCTCAAATAAGGGATCGAATCTGGAACCTCCTCATCAAGCGCACATAGTACTAATCACTGTGCCACCGAAGAGCATTAGCACCACCCCGTGAAAGCGATCACGCGTCGCGTCGTTATATATAAAGCAACATAGATACCAGAAATATGAATTAATGTAAGGGACAAACCACGGTTTTTCAGATGAGCCAAAAAACGATTTTATTTTTTTAAATCAGCCTATAAGTTTTTTCTGTCTGCTCCAATTTTGATAGTGTCTAAAATAAAGTTTCTTAGAATTTCCTCTTCTTTCATGCTATAAACGTAATATTTAGGAATGCCCACTGGTTTAAAATATATCATGTCCCTTACATTAGAAAAAGATGCTTAGTTGCCTAACGTTATTCATATTTTATGTGTAAACCGTCGAGCATAGTGTAAGCAGTAGTATAAGGATCCTTTACAATAGAATAACGTACAATTTTCTATTTCTCTTCCTGCTTATATTATGCTCGACGGTTTACAGATAAAATATTAGTAACGTAAAGCAGAACTAAATGTATTTTTAAATGTTTTTTAATGTAAGGGACATGCCATATTTTAAACTACTGGGCATTCTTAAATTTTAATAATACCAATCGATAGAGCGGGAACTTCCGAATTCAATGATTTTCGACAAAATGTCCCTTACGTTAATTGATACTTCTGGTATCGATTCGATATTGTATATAAATGAAAGGCTGTGTCCAGTTTAGATAAATGAAAATACTATGGCCATTAATATGGATAAATGAACGTCCACTAATCTAAATGAATTTCCACTATGCTCGACAAGGACTACTCATGCTTTGAGAGTATGAATCTTTTCCAATGGACAGATTTCTTTGATACTTTCTTTCAATGTTTGTAAATTGTTTTTGACCGCGATTTTAAAAGCACCTCCATGTTTTTTGGAATGTCCATCACGAATTTGCATCGATGGAGATCGAACAGAGTACCTCCTGCATGTATATCTATCGCATATTGGTATGTATGTTTGTGCTATTAGCGTGTACACGCAAGATCTATTTAAGTTATAAACGCTATTTTAAATAGACGTTCTCATTTGGAAGATATATCGGATATAAAAAAGTATTACTAATGGATTGTGAAATCATTGCAATGCTTACCGCTCCATTGCCTTATCAGGATCGATGTCCAGGAAGAATTCATCTTCATGTAACACAGCCATAACTGGCCCCTGTAATGCTGCTACAAGGAACTGCCGTGCCGGCGTATGTCCATCTCTAAATACTGAGTAGAGAGATGCTAAAGCGCATTTTCCCGTGCGGAACAATCTGTAAGATATTGTGAGATCTCATTTACTGTTGCGGAAAAGTACCTACCACAAACTCGAATTTTTCTTTTCCGAAACAACGTTTGTTCGAATTTTCATTACACCGAAAACCGAATTATAACGAAACCGCCGTTCTTTCAGGATATGTTGGATGTTTATCGCAAATACTTTTTTTGGTGTAATATGTTACAAGTACTATATATATATATATATATATATATACACTTTATAATATTTAGGGTATGGTGGGTTTTGCAATTGTATGACATGCAGGCACACTTTTACACTGACTCACACTTTTACACACATTTTCATTTCATACACTTTTACACATACTTGCACTGAGACATACGTAGGTTAATTAGTTCTTAATCTGTAGTGATATAAATTTTAATAGTTAAGTACCAGTTTAGTTATTTATAACATTCACTTATTTTATTTTTACTTCTTATTTGTATTTTTAATAATACTTAAAACTATATTAGGATTATTATTATTATATAAGAGCAAACTGTTACTAAATTAAATTAGAAGAGCGGTGTTTCCTAACACAGGCCCTTTCAAGCCTAAAAGGAAACACCAGCCCCTGTAATATGCCTCTTGAAAGTAACCAATAAAACATTTTTATTTTTATTTTTTATTTTTTATTTATAATACACGATTAGGTTCGGTTAGGTTAAGTTAGATTTAAAAGAAAAAACATTTTCTTCTCAAAACTACTTTCGAGGTTATGAAAATTCGAGCAAACTTTACTTCTGGAAAATGTAATTTCGGAGTACTGATAAGTAACCATAGAATATAGGTCCATAATTATATGGCAAAAACAAACAATGCTTCCAAGAAACATACAATCCATCCTCTTAAGAGCATTGTCATGGTTAGTGTGCGGTACTTATTTACATAAAAATATACGACCTAAAATAAACGTGTTTATATTTTTTTATAAGATCAAGCGACGGGACAAACAAGTCGTGCGCCTGATGGTAAGCTACACGCCTGTCCATAACAGTTACAGTGCCACTCAGAGCTTTAAATTGCAAAGATCTGACGGGCATTACCACTGTGCCCGTCACCCTGAGACATAAGTTGACAAGTCCCATGTGCCTGTAATTATACCAGCACCTTACCCTACAAAACCGGAACACAGTAATGCTGACATTACTGCTAGGTGGCAGAAATAGGCATGGTGGCAGTACTACCTTGAACGAACTCTTTCACAAGAAGTTACTAACATTTTGCAATAATTTACCAATACGCGAGTTGGTCGATATTGTAGTAATAATAATAATAACGCGCACACACACTCATAGCCCCGCACTAGGGAAACCCTGTATCGCGTGTGCCATGGACACATACAAAGACAAGCACAAATTACACCCAAACTCACGAGAGAAACAAATGTAGGCCATACAATTATTTCTCCCAGCCCGGGTATCGAACCCGGGACCTCTGCGTGGTAGTCCAGCATAGTAACCGGTCGGCCACAGATAGATGGGTCATGGATAAATATCACTGGGATAAATACTCAATAGAAAGATGAATATGGATAAATATCCAAATATGGATAAATATCCATATTTATCCAAAAATGTGGATAAATTATTTTAATCGTGGTTTATTATTTATATTTAGTAAAATAAAGTATATTTTTTAGCTTAATTCTGAACATTGATACAATTTAGTAGCATGTACGTGTATACCTTTTCTTTATACGCAGTGATAAAAATAATCCTTTTAAGTACCGTAAGTCCCTGTATTTTTGCGTGAACCTTATTATTATTTAAATGCGTAGTTTGTTAAAAAAATGTCTCCACACGGTATTAATCAGCTATCTAACATTTCTATGGATTTTTTTTCAAGTTACTAAGTTGGACCGTTTTTGTACATTTGTTTAGCTTCGTATATAGAATAAGGGCGCTCCCTCACCGAGAACATTCGCCTGTAATGTAACATTCAAGATTCGATTAGGCTGCGATTCCACCAGAGATGTGCGCGGTAGCAAGGCGTGCGTGCGACTGCCTCTGAGAGCCCGCGAGAGCCAGGAGTGCCCGCGAGTGCCTTTGAGTGCCCGCGAGAGTCAGGAGTGCCCTTGAGTGCCCGCGAGTGCCTTTGAATGTCTTCGAGTGCCTTTGAGTGTCTTTGAGTGCCAGCGCGTGCCTTTGAGAGCCCGCGAGTGCCTTCGAATCAAAGGTACTCAAAAGCACTCCTTAAGACTTGAAAAACATTTCCACCATATCTGGTGGAGTCGCAGCCTTATAATCTGAACAGATTGTTATATTAGAAGCGAATACTCTCGGTGAACGAGGCTACCGAATGTTACGCAGCGAATGCTCGGTTCACCTCCCTCACCGCCTATAATGCTTGCTTTTGTTACGTTACAAGAGCATGTTCGCGCAGTTAGTGAGATGTTATCGACTCGAAAAACGTAGGTACTAAAACAGTATTGTTACTAAAAAACAATGTCAAAATGAGAAGTAATCATACGTAATTATTTAATAAAAAAATAATTGTAATGAATTTTATTATAAAAAACACAAAAAAATATTCATCCATGTTTTAGGATGAATATTCCGTAAAAACGGATATTTATTGGATATTTATCCTTTGACGAATATTTATCGGGTAAAAAGCCATCTCTAGCCGCGGAGGCAGGTTGATATGATGCATTTGTAATATAGTATTGTAACGTGTATGTCTCAATTATGTTCTGTGTACCTTTAAAAGAAATAAAAATAAACACAACATTCGCACACACTCAAGGCAGCACTTTCAATCAACCGTTACAAGCCCTTATAGACATGCGCACTCTTAACTCTGAAGTGCTAAGAATGATCAACGTTGAGCGGATGCTATAACGCTGGTAACGCCAGCAATCAAGTCCCTATCTCTATTCGGCTATTCTCGAACTAGTGTTCACTACCTAATTTCCGTGACAATTTTTATTATTTAAGCTTTCGATTTTTTTTATCGTGCAATATTATTTAATATACGAGTATTGAACCGTGAAACATTTTTTAATAATTACACGTAAATATACTTGATATTTAAATTTTTCTCTAATCCACAGAAATTAGGTAGTGAACACTAGTCTGAGAATGACTGTATTAGATCTGTTCGTCTTCACCTGTTTTGTGTACCTGTACCATTGACGAAATAAAAGAATTGAATGTATATCACCAATCATAGATTTTTTTGTCAGAAAAAAGCGAGTAACAATGGTAACGCCACAAATAATCGAGATGAAGATAGTCGTTGACAGCGCAAGAGGGTAGACAAATAAGTATGTTCTTAATCAGCTGTCATCTGACACTAGCCAGTGAGCACTTGACCATGGAGCGTGTAGCCGTTCCAAAATATTGGGACAATAAAAAGAAGTCATACCGTGGCAAAAAACCTGCAATTAGTGATAATCATTTAATGAATAATCACGAGTCTTAGAATCTATAAATAAATCGATTTTCTTACTTTCTAGGGTCGCTGGAAGGTGTCATATGATGCTTAATCAGGGACCGTATAACGGCGAGTAACCGCGTTCGATCCACTGCCGTCCGACAGCTACCGTATAACCCTGCTACCAGAGACGACGGCAGGATTGGGGGCATGTGATCTTCGCCGAGGAGGAGGCATAGTGCCACGAGGTGAGGGGAGTCCCGCAGCCATCCTAACAGCTCTCCAAGTGCTGTTGCCTCCTGTTAAAAAAAGAAAAATTTCGTAAAGAACGCGCGCATTATACAGCCAGGTGCAGGCAAATGTATATTCTGTACAAATAAGTTTTTAATTTAAATCAGCGTACAGATGCGCCTGTCATGCGAGTTGCACACGAGGGTCAAGTTGTGCGATCTGTCCGCGTGCTGTTCGCGCGCTTCTCGCGCGCAGCTCGCGCGCCATGTATATGTATTACACTTAGAATAATAACGCATAGAAACCTAGTCCGCACACGTTAAGTGAGGCAAATTGAGGCGCGCCAAAAGGGCCTACACGAGCGGGCGGGCCTTCAGTGCTCAAGGTCAACTTGCACCGCGAACAGATCAAGAATTTTAGCTAAAAATGACGAAATGTGCGGTAAATGAGTGTAAAAATACGTCAGACAAACATAAAATAGATACTAACATCACATTCCACAAGGAAGTAACGCGTTTCAACTTGTATTTTTATATAAATATTCACTAAAACCGAAAATTAACCTACTACTAAAACTAGCCTACATGAATTTGATTTTTGCCACACTTGTGACAGTTCGTTTGATGTGAAACTATCATTCTATGCGTTATTATTCTAAGATATTACATTAACATGTATTTAATTGCACGCATGCAGCATGCATTCGCCAGATCTAAAGTACGCACTCTAAAGCATCTGACGTGTTGTTTACTCTTTAAATTTTATTTGCACATTATTCACTTTGGAAATGAAACTATTTTTCCGGATTTAAATCGCGTATATTTGTTTTTTCAAACAAACCGACGTTTCGGGCCCTTTACAGGTCCCATGGTCACGGTTGACTGAGGTGGTACAGCCTTCAACCAGTTATGTCTAATATTGATGCAAACCACCCTATTTTTTTCACTATAGTTACAATAGTTATTAATTAAATACTTTATTTTTAATTTTACAAAGAAAACATTCCAATTTACGTTACATTCAGTTTTACAAATTATTTTATTGAATGAATTTTTATTAAGTTCAATTTATTATTAATTAATAATAGAAATTAGAATAAACTAAAACATATTAATTAGTACTGCTTTTATTTAAATTTGGAAAAATAGTTTCATTTCCTATGTGTAACAATCGCGAAAACCTAAGAACTCGATACATATTCACTTTGTTTCACGATTACGTTAGTCGTGGAACAAAAAGCTACTTTAAATAATAACAATGACATTTAATTCAAAATATGAATCTGTTTGTGTAAGCACATTGTTCCAATTCATACAAATTAACTTCAGTGCATATTTAAAATTGTAACTGGCGACACTTGGAAGTATTGAATCTCGAAAAAGAAAGAAGTATAGAATATAAAAAAGTAATGCAAAACTATTAGAACTCCTTTCTAAACAACTGACGTTACTATTTTTAAATTGGCGCGTAAATTAAAAAAAAAAACTTGAAATAAAAAGTTATATGAGGTCGATATATTTTCGATTAGAAAATGGACTTACGAGTATTCCGTTTCTCATCTGCAACCAAAACATCAAAACTTGTCGAATTGTCGAATTTTGATACGATACATTTGACTTTTTTATCTGATTTTTGACCGATTTGCATTAAATGAGGCGGTGATAGAGGAAACAGGGGCTTATTTTTCAGTATGACATAAATATTTTTTTTATGACTTGACGTTCTTGTACCGTCCCTAGCGGCGCTGCGCCATGGAGAATAGCATTATGCAAACTTACGGTCGTATTCTAGAACTCTACTCAATGCTCAAGTCAGGATTGCACTGGAAACACAAGCACTGGAAATACGACTCTATTCTATGGCAGGGACTTGAGTATGATTTCGAGTGCTTTAAACCGTACTCAAATCCTGACTTGAACATTGAGTCGAGTTCTAGAATACGACCCTCAGCCAATTTGTGCCGCCACCCGCTGTCGTCCAGTTTTTGTAGCCTTATTGTTAAAGAAAAAGAAACTATCTGGCAGGCAAACAGGACGGACACAGTGAAACCATACTTATTTTGTTAATAGTAACTTCTATACAACCTGTAGGCATTTTTTCTCTTTTTTTATATATATACGTGGGCGCACTATAAGTTTCCGGAATGAATAAGAAAAAAATACCACAAATGGTCAGAAATTAATTTATTGTTTCTCAAAATATTCTCCGTTAGCGTTAATGTACTTTTTCATACGAATGAACCAATTTTGAAAACATTTATGCCACTCTTCCGTGACAATCTCTGAAACATATTTTTCATACTCTTCGACAGCCTCCTCAGGTGATGGAAATCGTTGACCGCGTAACTGGTTCTTTATTTTTGGAAATAAATAAAAGTCACAAGGTGCCAGGTCGGGACTATACGCGGGATAGATCATAAGGTCGACGTTGTTCACCTTCAAAAATTCATTTGTCTGTCTGGCTGTGTGAGAACTGGCATTATCGTGGTGCAAGATGATACGGCGTTTACGGTAATTTTTAAGGATTTTGTCAATAACTTCCGGCAAACAAATGGTCGTGTACCAATCATTATTCACGGTACAACTATTCTCCAAAGCAACAGTAGCCACGTGTCCAGTTTTATTAAAAAAAGAAGCAATCGTCCGCTTAGAGGCACTTTGCACGCGCGCCATTTTGGTTGGTTTCGGCTCATCTCGAAAGATCCATACTCTCGATTGCTGATTTGTTTTAGGATCGTAACTATGAATCCATTCTTTTGTGAAAGTTAATAAAAAAAATTTTTATTTATTTATTTATTTATGTTTCGTCACTTGTTATTATGTCCCATACCAAATTTGACGCCCCTTCGTTGAATCTGGTAAGCCTGGCATTGCATCAAGTGATGCGATCCGTTTTTTGAGCCTCAGTCAAATTGTGTGGGATCCAGTGAGAGCACAGCTTTTTCACAACCAAATGTTTGTGTAGTATTGATTGTATTTGACTCATGCCTTTGCCTAAAGATGCCTGAATCTCATGGTATGTCACATGCCTATCTGTTTTGATCATACGGCGCACAGCATCGATGTTTTTGTTGCATACAGCAGTGGACGGGCGACCATCACTGAGATTCACACGACCGCGTTTGAATTCTGCAAACTAGCCAAAAGCAGTTTGAAGACGAGCGAAGCTCCGCTGAGCTGTTACATTACACTTAAAGTCGTAGAAAATCATATTACGAAAATTTTCACGAGTTAAACCCAAAGTGATGTAGACAACCAATTTCTAAAATGACGCCACAATGTAAAAACAAGTGATAGTCCGATGAAACAAACTGTATTCTACAGCCAAAGAGTTCCATTTCCAAATGTTGTAATCACTTTTTAAATATTATTTAAGTAAGTGGCCAGTTCTGGAAACTTATAGTGCGCCCTATGTAATAGAGACACGTTTGGCCACAATCTCACCTGATGTTAAGCGACGACGTGACCGACGACGGGACGCGTTTGCCTAAAAAATGCCTAATCACTCTAGCCTTGAATAGCCCCAAATTGTACTTTTCGGGAAATACAGATACCGGTAGAGCATTCCATTCCTTTGCCGTACGCATCAGAAAAGAGGAAGCAAAGCGCTGAGTGAACGACATAAGAATGGAGTGCTCCGGACCTTCTAGTCGACAGAAGGAGGAACGGTGAGGGTGGTAGTTTTCTGCGATGGTCGAGATTTTGTAGCATCGACTCCACAAGATAATTGTTGTTAATAAGTCTCTTTGCTTTTCACTCCACCGAGTTCAAGGCAGCTAACTGGTAATGGGCAGAGCCGTCCCAAAGGTGGCAGCAATACTCCAAACACGATCGAACTTGTGCTTTATACAGATTCAAAGGCTGTTCAGGGTGAAGTACCGCACGACCTTGTAAAGAATGCCTAGCTTTTCCGGCAGCAGACTTTGTCAAGCACTCGATGGTTAGCCCAAAGTTGAGGTTGGATGGTAAGTCCAGACCAAGTAGCTCAAGGTGCTCCCTTATCGGCACGAATACATCTCGGAAAGTCGGAGTAAGGTGTAGGAGACTCCGTTTTGATGTGAAAAGACACGCCTGTGTTTTAGCCGCATTAAACCTGGCCCTGTTTGCATCTCCCCAGTCGGAAGCCGCTTTCAGGTTCAGGTTCAGCCGAGTGACAATCGCCTCTCGTTTACACCGGATCTCTCCGCTGTTGTCTCGGGCGTCTGGCACATAACTCTCTACCACTGTGTTGTCGTCTGCGTACCCAAAAATACCGGACATCAGCAGCAGGACGTTGATATGCAGCAAGAATAGAGTGGCGGAGAGGACAGATCCCTGAGGTACACCGGCATTTATACCACGAGGAGCAGACTAGTAACCATCTACAACTACGCGGATTGACCTATCCTTCACAAAATCGCCTATCCATGTGCAGGAATTCCGTAATCTGGAAGCTTGTGTAACAGGCTATCATGCCAAGCCCTATCATAGGCCTTTGATATGTCGAGAGACACGTTAAGCGATTCACCGCGTTTCTCGACAGCCTCGCCCTATAACTGTGTGGCATACGCAAGAAGGTCCCCAGTAAATCGACCACGACGAAAACCATACTGTCGATCACTGAGAAGATCGTTATCTTCGAGGTATTCAAGGAGACGTTTTCTCAAACAAATGAGTTATGAATTATATCTCAATAAGGATTACGTTTACATATTATAAAATCTGGTAAACTGTTGTAGGTAAATGTCTAGTATAATAATATCATGAGTGGTTATTTACAACAATGACAAGACCTCTCTGATTATTTCTATCCAAAAGGACAAAGTGAATGAATGTCCTTAACCTATTGATATATTGCTATAAAGTTCATACAATTAAAATGACATTAATTAGTGATAAAACTTACAATATACATGACACACAATGTGAAATAGTCGGGGACAGTGCAATTACGCGTTGGATTATGACTTTTCATTTGGTATTTTTAGTGGCGGAATAAAATCCGCGTAAATGTCTTAGCAACGAAATTAGCGTGATGGTCGGGAATATATTGTTATAAGTCCGTAGACAACATAAATTAATGCTTTCTG